TAGTCATCCAAATTTTTATATCAGCTATGCATTCCGTTAATTTTGTGAATTGGTAAGTTTCGTCAAGGCGTGAAGAAATATAGAGCTGAGTATCATCAGCATAACAGTGAAAACTAATGCCATGCTTCCTGATGATATCTCCTAATGGTAGCATGTACAGAGTGAACAGCAGCGGTCCTAGTACTGAGCCTTGTGGTACGCCATACTGAACTTGTGATCGATAAGACATCTCTTCATGTACTGCTACAAACTGATAACGGTCAGATAAGTATGATTTAAACCATGCTAGTGCAATTCCACTAATGCCAACATAGTTTTCTAGTCTATTTAAAAGAATGTTGTGGTCGATATTATCAAATGCAGCACTAAGATCGAGTAACACTAATAGAGAGATACAAACACGATCGGATGATAAGAGAAAATCATTTGTGCCTCTGATGAGAGCTGTCTCAGTACTATGGTACGGTCTAAATCCTGACTGGAAATCCTCGCAGATATCATTTCTTTCTAAAAAGGAACATAATTGTGAAGAGACTGCCTTTTCTAGTATCTTTGACAGAAAAGGTAGATTCGAGATCGGCCTGTTTTTTAATAAGAGGTTTAATAATAGCCGGCAAGATTTGCTCCTACTTCGTGCAATCCATGGAAAAGCAATGGACAATCTGAAAGCCTCCGAGGCATATCAATACCTGCACAGCAACAAAGTCGGTTGTGTCATGTCATACAAACATGATCGTTTTGTTTATATGAAAGCAAATGTAGAGCCTAGCCTTATTTAGGCCATGCCAACAGATGTCCGTTGTTTACATAATGCACAATTTACATTATCTCTTTATGCTGTACAATATATCAGTGTGCCTGTACTGTTTGAGTGAAAATAAAGTTTGATGTAATTTCATTTCATTTAATTATTGCACTGAACTACGATCATGAAAGATAGGCCTTGTTCCTTACTGTACGTTGACCCATGCAGCTTGGGAACACGGTTCTACTACTTTGACTGGAGATGGCGTTACTAGAATTCAGTGCAGAACTGGGAGGATAACATGACGACGTGGCCCAGCATAACGTACAGCAAGATTTGCTCCTACTTCGTGCAATCCATGGCAATAGATGGAAAAGCAATGGACAATCTGAAAGCATTTGAATTGTTTATTAATAAACGCGCCGGCGCCTCCGTGTCCTAATTATATTGTCTACTATATTTGCTTCTTATTTATTAATCCAGGCAATTTGTTGATGAAACATTGATTAAAATGAAGATACAATTTATACAAAACGAAATTCACTTCAACAAGATTGCGTATTTAATCCTAACAGGTATTAAAAAGTAAAATACAAAAGCAGCCCACACAATTACATCACTATGAAAATTTTCATATATAATATTAAAAAATACAATGCATGCAGTATTTGTTGTGTTTATCTGTATTTAATGAACATCATGGCTGGGTGTTGGTAGACAGGAACACAAGGCAAGATTCTAAACCTCACAAGGCACTCTCAGCCAGGTCCTTGATTCCGAGTCGGTATCAGGCTTGCGAAAAAATGTAAACAATGGAGCGCATGGACGCTTTTCGTAGCTGGATTGTGGTCGTAGCACTCTCTATCTAACCACTCTTTTCAGGTGGTTTCTCGAGTGTTTGCAACCAACTACCGAACACGTCGTTCCCGAACCACTTTTCTTCATGTTGTAATTGTTATATCATTTGTCACTGCGATATCAGTGCTTTGTCGGCACAACGGAGCTAGCTAGCAAAACAAACCCAGCCCGCCAGAACGGAAGTGGATTGCATCAATGGGAGGAGTTTAGGACGTAGAGCAGAAACGGCTCAAAAACTTGTGTATAGGGTCTAACATACATGTTGTTGATTTAGATGATCCAACGAGTTTAGACCATTCTTCCTCTTCTATTGCAACGAATGAATGGAATTTTTCCTCAGGGAGACTACAATGCACTGTCTGATGCGATACTGTATTAGAAATATTGAGTTCTTCTAAGCTCTGGGATGCTGAGATGATGAAACTGATCAGGAAGATTATTAATTAAAGCAATCTTTAGTGGCAGAAGTGATAGGTCTAACATATTTGTTACACGGAGTCGGCTTTGCAGTCTTAAATGGAGTTTACACGAGACTAGATAATGATCTGAGATGTCATCGCTCTGCTGCAGAATTTCAACAGCATCAACATCTATTCCATGTGATAGTATTAGATCTAGAGTATGATTACGACAATGAGTAGGTCCTGACACGTGTTGTCTAACTCCAATAGAGTTCAGAATGTCTCTAAATGCCAATCCCCCAATGCATCTTTTTCATTATCTACATGTATATTAAAATCACCAACAATTAGTACTTTAACTGCAGCCAGTACTAACTCTGATAGAAAGTCAGCAAATTCTTTGATAAAGTCTATATGGTGCCCTGGTGCCCTGTATACAGTAGCCAGCTCGAAACTCAAACGTGATTTATCATTTACACTAGATCATTAGACACTAGTGTTACATTAAGCACCAACACTTCATAAGAATTATATTTGAAACTAGACTTCTCAGCAATTCTGAAGATATTACTATAGATTACAGCAACACCTCACCCTTTGCCTTTCAGACGAGGTTCATGTTTATAACAGTATTCTTGGGGGGTGGACTCATTTAAAGTAATTTAAAAAAAAAGTTTTATCATTTGTTCATCTGTATTATATCTATGTTTTATTTGTTGAACATCGATTACATTTTTACCCTTAAATGGGGTTTGGGAGTTTTTTGTATTTCCTAATTCGGGGAACAGACACAGTCTCTATATGATGATATCTAGGTGAAAGAGTCTCTGTGTAATGGGATTTATCTGACCTCAGTGACGTGAGACAGCTGGCAGACGGTCGGTTTAGCCAGTCTGTGTGCTTCCTGACCTGAGCCCCAGATTGTCATGTTTGAGCTCTTCGCAAAGACTCCCAATGTAAGATATTTTGAGCTGAATTAAAAAGGTTATGCATGAAATTGTGAGGAATGTGCTTAAATGACTATTTATTTATTTATTGATCAAATCTAATAATTTTAAGGTAAATAAAATGAATAAAAATAAAAATTTCCCCAAAAATTGCATTAAAAAATAGAAAAATTATTATCAAAATGAAATAAATAAGCTTTCTGGACAAAAAACAAAAGTATAATTTTAATAAAATAGAAAGAAAGAAAGAAAGAAAGAAAGAAAGAAAGAAAGAAAGAAAGAAAGAAAGAAAGAAAGAAAGAAAGAAAGAAAGAAAGAAAGAAAGAAGAAATACGTATACCACAATTCTGTTGGCATTCTATATGAATATATGCATATTATGGGGAATTCTGTAATAATCATGTGGTTCATGTAGTCTGACATATTGAGCGGTGGTACTGGTTCCAGTTAAGTCTTTGTCATGCTCTCATATTGTTTTCATGGAATTATCTGAAGAGTCATCAGTGAAATAAAGGTTTTCATTTACATTTATGCATTTTGCCAGCCATTTTTATCCAACGCGACTTACAATGCATTATATAAATACTTACGTGTTTTTATTAGACGTAAATCATAATCACATCAGATCAAATCACTTGCTGAATTCAGCAACTGTTCCAGAGTCTGTTTGTGAGTGTTAGTAAAGGCCCAGCAGTGCACTTTGACCTTTGCTGATTAAAAAAATATATTATTATTTCGATATCAACAAAAAATTATAAAATTGATTAAGGGTTTAGACTTAAAGGAGCTGTATGTAAGATTGTGGCCAAAACTAGTACTGCAATCACTGTCAAATGACTGTAGAGTGGTGTATCCCCTCCCCCTCCTCCCTGACTCGAGGTTGCCAGATCAGCTGCAGGATCCAGCAGGAACGCGACGAGCTGCAGCTGTGGTAACTAGAGCAGAGCTGGCAACCCGGATGCCGCAACACTACTGACTTCGTGATTGGTAGATAGGTGGAGGGAGGAGCATCAGACCAAAACACAACATGACAACATCAACATCAGTTGAGGGCTGCAACTGCACTTTTTAAATGACAATATCCTGGCCAGACTACTGTTTTCAGTGATATAAGTATTTGAAATGTACATGATTTCTTAATGTCTAGTGACATTTCAGGGCCATTTTATGATTAATTGAAATAAATTTCTTACATACAGCTCCTTTAACACGCTGTAAATACCTGTGTTGAAGTATAAAATAAAATAAAATAAGGAAAAGTGTGCAAAATTCAATAAAGATCCTAAAAAATAGGTTAAAGATAAACGGAGCAAAGAGGTTAAATATAGATGAAAATAAGTCAGTATAAGGAAATCGACTTCAGTACGTTTGGAAAGTACGTCAGTACGTTTACGCTTCATGTTACGTCAGGAAATACCCTTACATTACCCAACCAAAAATAAAATGACATAAAATCTATAAATCTACCCAGAAAAAGGTACAGGATACACCTTATTATAACCATATTATGCAATGTCAAAAGTAATTGAAATGAAGCAGGAGAGTTGTGTCCCAGTTTTTGTACATTTCTAATTAGCCTCTCAAATTCCTGTAAAGCCACTTCAACCCGGCAGAATGAAAGCATCACTGCGCATCACTACACTGTGTCTTTAAGGAAACTCGTCACTGTGTTTCAGAATGACGGAGATCAAATCCCAGCATGCATCACTCCACTTCGATAGTATAACCTGCGGCGGGTATTTTCCATGCGACTATGTGCATTCAAAAAGTATAATTTTTTGCATGCTCCGGTAAAGTTTTTGCCTATTTTACTGACTTATATTTTTAATATTCGCGTTTTTTGTTCTAATTTGAACACCTGAACCTCTGAGTTCAGAGAGAAGCAATAATGAAAGTAACAGTGACTGTGCAGCCCGCGCGCCGTGAGCTGTGTGGAGTGGAGCGCGTGCTGTAGGATGAGACACACTTCAGCACTGCTGTCACATTAGTTCAGTTCAGGGGTGTGTGTGTGAGAGAGAGAGAGAGAGGGATGTGGCGGGAGGCTACTGGAGAAACCGCCACACACTATCTAACTACGAATAGTTTCCTATCCATTCTTGAAATATCTCTGTGAATATAAAACCTGCTGTGATCATGGTGAGCGCTCCTCCTCTCGCGGTGATCTTTATCCTGACATCTGCGCTCATCTGCAGCTTCACCAACGCTGCCAAACTCAACATACCTAAAGTGTTATTACCTCTTGCCAGAAGCACAAAAATCAATTTTACACTGGAAGCAAGTGAAGGATGTTATCGCTGGTAAGTGCATTACATATAGCTTGTAAAGTAGTAAAGAAATACTGATGCATTTCTAGTGTAATATTGAATACCTTCCCCGGTTGTAACATCATGTTTTTGACATGTCAAATGATAAAGAACAGTAGACCATATTAGACCTTTTTTAAAAGAGTAACTATAACAATAAATGTATTACTGTAAGGATGAGTTCATAAAGCTCAAGCACGTGGTGCTGTTGTGATGTGTTTGTTATAGTTGCTCAAATCTCACTTTTTTCAATTTCTGTACTTTGTAGATAAGAAAATATTTTAAATCAATGTGATAAATGTCATGCTAAATACTAAGAGTTGCATTTTATTTTAACATTATTGCACTCTTTTTTTTTTTGCACAGCTATCTCACTCACTCATTATATATTATCTGTATTTATATATTTATAAGTTTTGTTTATTATTAATATCAGATTGTACGTTGCACTTTGCTTGCTAGGAAAACTCAACTACTGGTAAAATGGAAACATTTTACAATAAGGTCAATAAGTTTTTACCTCCTCTTCAGTCTATATTCAACAAAATAATGTTCAAACAGGCAAGGAAAATGACTCGGGACCCTTTCATGCAGAATTCGAACCACTTCGGTCTGGTCGACGTCTCTCTACCTCAAGGTTTAGATACAACCGCTATACAAAATCTGTTATTCCTTAGCTTAGGCTACACGACTGTTAAACTCTAGTGCGAAGGACACGACTGTGTGACAGTTGTTGATGTGGCTAACTTGTTATGCAGCTTCATTTGGATACTATAGCCCAAAACAAATTTCCCTTAAAAGGTACAAATAAAGTATTATCATGTCTCATTAGATATGTTAGTTAATGCATAAGCTAAACTTTGTCTCACAATGAGCAATATATTTGTTACACTATTAATTATACTTTGTCAATGATAGTTAATAAAATTACAACTGTTCATTGAGTTCTTGTTAGCTCAGTTCCATTACATAATATTAACAGATACGACTTTTGATTTTAATAATGGATTACTAAATTATGACATTAACTAAGATAATAAATGCTGAAGAAGTATTTTCATTTTAATTGAAACAATGTAGTAAACATGGAACCTTATTGTAAAGTGTTACCGGTGAAATGTGTGTTACATCCTGTCAAAATGCATACATTTCTAGAACCCTAAGTCCCTCTCCGGAGCCGTGTGTATTATACCTGTATTAATGCGTGTTGTGTCCTCAGGTCTTCGAACCGGCCAGAGGTGCTATATTATACCTGTATTAATGCGTGTTGTGTCCTCAGGTCTTCGAACCGGCCGGAGGTGCTATATTATACCTGTATTAATGCGTGTTGTGTCCTCAGGTATTCGAACCGGCCAGAGGTGCTATATTATACCTGTATTAATGCATGGTGTGTCCTCAGGTCGTCGAACCGGCCGGAGGTGGCCAGCGTGGAGGCGGTGGAGGTGGACGAGCGCCAGTGCTCTCAGAGGGCCGTCCTGCAGGCCCGCTCCACCCAGCCCTCCCGCCTCACCAGCATCATCCTCGCTGAAGACGTCTGTGAGTCACACACACTGGGGCTTTCTTATTGTTGGGTAGCTTTGTCATTCCTTGTTAGTTTGTAACCTTATGATTGATCATTACAGAGACAATGTGCTATGCACTGTTATATCAGTTATTAATCCATCTCTCCCACACAATTACAGTGAACTGAGACTGGAGCTTTTGAGCTTCAGAAAGGACGCGTATAAGCACCGTAAATGTATAAAAGTAGTCCAAATGACCTGGGTGCTGTATTACAAGCCATCTAAAATGATTATATACACTGCCCGGCAAAAAAAAGGCACTGTTTGAATTTAAATAGGCAAATGCTTAAAAAGGGATAGTTCAACCAAAAATTTTAATTAGCCCATGATTTACTCACCCTGAAGCCATCCTAGGTGTATATGACATTCTTCTTTCAGACGAACACAACCAGAGTTATATTAAAAAATGTCCTGGCTCTTCCAAGCTTTATAATGGCAGTGAATGGCCGTTTCTGTCTTGGAAGTCCATAAAAGTGCATCTGTCCAACATGACATCATGACTTTGCGTAAACATACACACCACTTTCAAGTCAAGTGGCGTGTTATCTATACGCATTTTGAGCTATCCGCGTGTATGTCCACGCCGAAACGAACCGTCATCTTTTGCGTGTATGTCTACGCCGTTAAATGTCCGAGCAAAACGAAGCAAAATGTAGATCTACATCTGGGGAGCGATATTTTTTTATGTGTCATACATACGCCATTTCATGAGATCAGTCTGATCTGTCCATGATAAAAGTGCACCTATCTATGATAAAAGTGCATCTGTCCATGATAAAAGTGCATCTGTCCATGATAAAAGTGCATCTGTCCATGATAAAAGTGCATCTGTCCATCATAAAAGTGCATCTATCCATGATAAAAGTGCATCTATCCATCATAAAAGTGCATCTGTCCGTGATAAAAGTGCATCTATCCATGATAAAAGTGCATCTATCCATGATAAAAGTGCATCTGTCCATGATAAAAGTGCATCTATCCATGATAAAAGTGCATCTGTCCGTGATAAAAGTGCATCTGTCCATGATAAAAGTGCATCTGTCCATGATAAAAGTGCATCTGTCCGTGATAAAAGTGCATCTGTCCATGATAAAAGTGCATCTGTCCATGATAAAAGTGCGTCTATCTGTGATAAGTGCATCTATCCATGATAAAAGTGCATCTGTCCGTGATAAAAGTGCATCTATCTGTGATAAAAGTGCATCTGTCCATGATTAAAAGTGCATCTATCCATAAGTGCACCTGTCCGTGATAAAAGTGCATCTATCTGTGATAAAAGTGCATCTGTCCGTGATTAAAAGTGCATCTATCCATGATAAAAGTGTCTGTCCGTGATAAAAGTGCATCTATCTGTGATAAAAGTGCATCTGTCCATGATAAAAGTGCATCTGTCCATGATAAAAGTGCATCTGTCCGTGATAAAAGTGCATCTGTCCGTGATAAAAGTGCATCTATCCATGATAAAAGTGCATCTATCTGTGATAAAAGTGCATCTGTCCGTGATAAAAGTGCATCTATCTGTGATAAAAGTGCATCTGTCCATGATAAAAGTGCATCTATCTGTGATAAAAGTGCACCTGTCCGTGATAAAAGTGCATCTGTCCATGATAAAAGTGCATCTATCCATGATAAAAGTGCATCTGTCCGTGATAAAAGTGCTCCAGACGGCTCTGAGGGGTTAATAAAGGCCTTCTGAAGTGAAGATCAGGGGCCGTATTCACAAAGAATTTTATCTTACCACTAGGAGTACTCCTAAATCGCACTAAAATATTTTTGCTAGGAGTTTTTTCTTAAAAGTTATTCACAACGCCTTTCAGACCTACTCTTAGTAAGGAAAAATGACAACTCCTAAACTAAGAGTGAGTCTTCGTTGCTATGGATGACGTCAGTTCTCATGCACGAGTTTCCCCGCAATGATCACGGTGATTGGTTGTTAGATGACAGGCCATCATGCGGGACATAACACAGACGCAACAAATCATGGAATTACGACATCTAAATATGTCTGTGTCCTACACTAAATAATAATAGTAATGTCAACGAAATGCATATATAATGACATGTTTGTGCAGGCTGTGAAGTATAGTTCTAAAAAGGCAGAGAGAGAGAAAAGTCTTGAATTAAACTAAATTAAATCAAGGTAGCCTAATACCCTAATTAATGAAAACCGCCACTTGCCTAATAATAAAAAACAACACTTGCATTAACACTTGCTTGGTTAATTGACATCCTATTAGCCTAAATATACTACTTAAAGCAAGGAAATGTTGCTCCTATTTAAGTAATGTACTAGTTGAATGACGGTGGATTATGAAGTCGCCAAAACAGAAAAGAAAGCCCAACTGGACGCAGGATCAGTTACTGCTGCTGGCCCAGCTGGTGCTGAAAAAAACCATAATAAAAGGGAAATTCGGCACTGGGATATCAAGCAGAACTAAGCGTGAGAATGGGAGAGGATTTGTTTGCAGATCAATGCAGCGTTCCCGCTTGTGTCGCGGACCCCGGACGACTGCGAGAGGCGCTGGTGTGCGCTACAATCCTTTGTGAATAGGTCTTAGTGAGTTAGGAGTCCTCTCGACTTCTTTTAAGCTGTCCCAGACTTAGCTGCTACTTTTAGGGCTAAAATGCTTCGTGAATTACTCTTAGTGAAAAAAATTAGGAGTCCTAAAGTTAGGAGTGACACGCCCATTATTTTTAGGAGTTGCTGCTAAATTCACCAGTTAGGAGCTACTTTTAGCCTTAAAATTCTTTGTGAATACGGCCCCAGATCAGTAACCTCCGATCAGGTTACTCTGAATGGAAATTAGCTGATATCAATTTATAATGCCTAAATAAGAGTTTGTTTTCCTATTACATATGTCTGTTGTTTGACAATATTATTAGCGAATGTAGTTCAGAGTAGTTGTCCAGCTGTGAAGAATGTATGAGGCTCAGTCCTTCTGTTGATCTGTGCTCAGTGACAGGACAGGTGCTGCGCTGTGATGCTATAGTGGATGTGATCAGTGAGATCCAGATCGAGTCCACCACGCGAGAGCTTCACCTGGAGGATTCCCCACTGGAGCTGAAGATCCATGCGCTCGACTCCGAGGGTGAGTCTTCACACACTCATGCTCACTCTTGTTCTTCTCTAGCTTGTATCGCCAAGCAAAAACAATACTGTCTTTTATAAGGTAATTAACATTACAAACTATAAGGATGTAATTTTGTTGCGATATACCATTCCTGTTTCACTTTCGAATGAAATAGGATATGTAAAAAGTTATCGTAAAATGAAAACTTCTATTAACCCTTTAAGACTGACGCTCCCGTTTGCGTGTCTGTTTAAAAGCCTATAGAAACTGAAACCAAATGGCTAGCTCAATCATTCTTTTTGCATACAAAACCAGAGATGTAACATGTTCAGATCAAGCCCATGTTGCGTTGTTTTCACCCTCTAATCAGTCTGTACAAACTGCGTAATAAGCATTTACAAAAAAAAACACACAAAAATGCATTGCACGTCTTTGCACACATGAATGAATGAATGAATGAGGCATTTATATAGCGCTTTCATATGTACTACTGTACACCCAAAGCGCTTTACAATCATTTCAGGGGGTCTCTCCTCAACCAGCACCAGTGTGCAGCATCCACTTGGATGATGCGACGGCTAGTGACGGCACACACTAGCTATAGTTGGAGAGGAGAGAGAGTGATAGAGCCAATTCAGTGGATGGGGATTATTAGGAGGCCATGATTGGCAGGGGCCAATGGTTGGATTGTGGCCAGGACACCGGGGTTACACCCCTACTCTTTACGAGAAGTGCCATGGGATTTTTAATGACCACAGAGAGTCAGGGCCTCAGTTTAACGTCTCATCCGAAGGACGGTGCTTTTTGACAGTATAGTGTCCCCGTCACTATATTGGGGCGTTAGGACCCACACAGACCACAGGGTGAGCGCCCCCTGCTGGCCTCACTAACACCTCTTCCAGTAGCAACCTGGTTTTCTCAGGAGGTCTCCCATCCAGGTACTAACCAGGCTCAACCCTGCTTAGCTTCAGTGGGCAACCAGTCTTGGGCTACAGGGTGATATGGCTGCTGACATGTTCTGTAGATCTGCGATTGATAGTTACGTCTTCCGATGGCTCATTGACGTATCACGTTCTGTGCACTATGACCCCCGGGTGTGTCGCATGTTGTGACGTCACAAGCATTTGACCATGCGTTTGACTCGCGTGATTTTTTTTTCTTCCCAAACCACTTCAGCGGAAATCCCGCCCTGCAGCCGATTCTAAAGTCATTGGTCATGTCAATCACTGTACAGATTGCCTACACCAAACACTGATCCCTAAACCTACCCGTCACTGTAACCTAAACCAATGAAATCGGCTGCAGGGCGGGATTTCCGCTAAAGTGGTTTGGGGGGGAAAAAATCACACGTTTGACTCCCGTTTGACTCCCATTTGCTATATGTTCCTTCTTATCGTTATTGTCTTTTTACCATTGCTTTATTTTATCATTACTTTCTCCTTTAGACACTCACAAATACAAGCACATTCACACACACACGCGCGTGCGCGGACGCACACAACGTTATGTCTAAACGAAAGTACACGGACGCGGAGGTTTTGGAAATACTAATTGCGTCCGATGACGATTAACTATACGTCTGCTCATCTATTTATTTTATATTTTAACCAATTCAATGTTCAATCAATATTCAAAAGCAAAATGTTATCTGTTTGACCACAAATGTAATTGAATATTTTACATGGCATTTCCCCTCCCTTTTTTTGAATGAGTGTAAAAATGAGTGTATCTTCAAAACTAATTTATGTAAACAGTTCAAATCAATTCTGTATAGTTTTAAATTGTTTTATGCACGTTTTTCACATTGACAAGTTTGAGGTTGACATTTATCCATTTTTTGTATTGAATAAAATATGTAAAAAATAAATAATTAAAATTGTTTTTCTTTTTGTTTATTGGACTTTTGAGATATTTATCTAGTTACTATTGATTTTTTACAAACATAGCCTTCAAATTGGGAGAGTAAGGATTATTTTGATGTATGACAAAGATATACTCTGGTGGAATTGTTCTATGGCAGGTCATAAAGGGTTAAAGTCCCCCTGTAGTCATATTTTTTTAAAATGTCATTTTGGTGATCAAAGGATTCATGCCTTAAAATAGCTTGAATGTAACTTGACACCCTTGCCTCATTTAGTATACGCGGTTCTATGAATATGCAAATGAGCTCCGCCTCCACTCCCTCAGCTCAGAGATCCACTGGTTGACGATCACATGTTGATCTGATTGGTTACAAGGTAGTTTGTGACGTCAGAAACACCAGCGATTTCACACCGTGTTTTTTAAGGAGAAAATACTCCGCAATGGTGTTGACTTTGGACATGGTTTGTCTTAAAGCATATTAAAAACACCACATAGACGCATAAATAAAATTTTAAAGCTTAATTTTCACCACAGGGGGACTTAAAAATCAAGTGTGCATTGTAATAATACATCTGTCTGGATCTGATGAATGATTTTTGTAGGTTTCAAATTGTTGGAGGAATTAAGATTTTACAGTTTTTTCCACTGGTCAAACCTCAAGCTGTACATTTAAGCATCGAGTCATCATTTGTATTCATTCCATTTAAGCTAAAGATGTGAACAAGGTGATTACAAATCAACTTGTACTAATTGGACTATACCTATTCTATGGCTAGCATGATTACAATTTCTTAAATTAAAATTAATTTTGATGTAATTGTTTGGACAGGGTGATGCACCTGTTTGGATATCATAATGGAAAAGAGCATCATTATAAGAATAAAATATCCGAAAACAAAATCTTACGTAGTTTGGTATAATATGTGGTTAATATTTCATGGAAATCATAATAACACTCTAATTCGTCATTGACCACTATACACACTTATGCATCGTTGTTAACTACCGCACACATAAACAACAGTTTGAAGCTTCCATGATGTCATTCATGTGCAGTCTGGGTAAAGTGTTCCTCATTGGCTCTTCAGGGAACACCTTCAGTACTCTAGCCAGTCTGTTGTTCGAGTGGACCATCGTGAAGGACGCCGAAATGGCAGGTTTCCCTGATTCCTACAACACCCTACAGTAAGAGCTCACGCTTCCGTCACCACATCATGCTGCCTTTTACTTGGTCGTGCTCTTTTATCACATTTCTTAAGCATAACAAAACAAATATGGATTTCATTATAAGCTCTGAAGAGTGTTGTTTAATCCCTTAGCTGAGGTAAACGCAATATTTATATCGATAGTTCACCCAAAAATAAAAAGTGACATTTTTTCACTCATTGTATAGACAAAAAAAACACCAAAATATTCTGTCTTTTCTTTTATGGAACAAAGAAAGTCATAAAGGTTTGGTACGACACGAGGGTGGGGAATTTATGAATGATCAATTCTTGGTGAACTATCCTTTCAATTATATGTGAATGAAAACTGTCTGTTCTGTCTGGATTGTAATCTGCTTAAAGATATATCTTTACAAAAAACATTCCTTGTGACAAAACATTAGACAACCATAAGATAGCACCATTTATTGAAGTGAAGGATCTATCCTTCAAATCCTCATTTTACATTCATTTTATATGTCGTCCACCACGACTGTGCTCTGTTCACGCCTGCGGCGCGTGTCATGTTGCCGTGTGTGTGTGTGTGTGTAGGGTCCTGAGGTTTGCGGAGTCGGCGTACACTCCTCCAGCGTATATCTCTGAGATGGAGCGAGTGGGACATCAGGGCGATATCATCCTCGTTTCAGGAATCAAAACCGGCCACGCCAAACTCAAAGCCAAAATACAAGAGGCCATCTATAAGGTCCATGTCACATGTGTGATTGATTTGATCCTTCATATGAATAGATTTTTGGCCATGTTTTGAGAATAAAGATGTAACGTTATAGATTTTAATATGTTAGCAAGAGTGGTGTTGTGCTCATGAATGTGTTGTCTGCTTGTGGCACACTTCGATCTGGACTGTTTTCAGGATGTCGGTGCTGCCGAGGTCCGACTGCTGATCCTGGAGAACATTCTCTTGAGTCCTGCGTATGATGTGTATCTGCTGGCTGGCACCTCCATCACATACAAAGTCCAGAAAATCCGTCAGGGAAAGATTACAGGTAAGCTTTTATTCATTTATCAATAAATGATTGTGTCTCTGGTAGGGGTGTAACGATGGCCTCATGTGACGATTCGATACATATCCCGATACTGAACTCACAATACCATATTATTGCAATACTCCAAGACATATAATAAAATGTAAACAAAAATATATAATGTTGATTAAAATGGTAAATTTGGCATTACATTGTGGGTGTATAAGTTTATAAGACTTGGACTTGGTGCTGGAAACCCAAAGCACAGGACAATAGTGACATCAGAATAACAATATTCATGATTCTGAAGCTGAAAATACACAATTATTTTAGACGAATATGCTTGATCTCGGTCACTCACTGACTAGATATATTAAAATACTGGTAACATCAGACATTTGGCATTATCAGGACCCACAGATATTCCCCCATTGCTTTATTATACATTATATTCAACATTATATATAGCAGTTTAATGTAGTACTGACACTAAAACAAAGTAACTTTTATTTTGGATGAACTATACACAATACCTATTGTCACTATCCACGAATTGTTGCATTTTTGTATTATGATATATTGTTACACCCCTACTCTTTGGTTATTACAGCGTGTTTAAGATTTTTGGCCAAAAATAACAAACTAATCCGGCTATAATCCATTACCAATGTGTAATAATGGGTCTAATAATAGAAGTTAAAGCTGCACCATTGCCTCTGCATTGCCATCCATTGTACATCTACCCTGTAGGAAGGCGTCCATTTAAGGATCCGGATAACACGCCCTCTCTCTAAATTATCAATACATTGATAATCACTATAGTTTTAACTTAAATATTGGGAAAAAATGTCCATATGGGTTGTCGATGTTGTGTTTTACACGGCTGAGTGTGTCGTCCTCATTGCAGAGCTGTCCATGCCCTGTGATCAGTATGAGCTCCAGCTTCAGAACGGTGTGGTCACCGCTAATGGAAACCCTGAGGCTCCTGTCGCACACCTGGACCAGAGCAGCTCTACAGTCTTTGCCCTTCAGCATGGACACACCAACATCGTGCTGGACCACAAGAGTATCCTTCACACTGGCCAGCTTCAGTTAGACTGATTGCTTGTGTTTGCAGCGGTGTATTTGATGACTTTACTCTGAGGTTTCCTTGATTCTGAACGCCAAGGTCTCGGGATGCAGGGCGTTTCCCGACTCCCCAACAGCACGATCTATGTTGTGGAGCCTGGATACTTGGGTTCGTCTCTTCATTAGCTTTGCATGGAGAAAAATGTCAGGAGTTTTGACAACTTGTAATCTCATTAGGATGATAAATTGATAAGTAATTTAATAAGATGTTTTAGTATAGTTGATTGACTATAATTGATTGAAACTTTTTGTGTTTGTCGTCTTCTCTGCTAGCATTCAAGATTTATCCTGAGGATCGCTGGGTCCTTGAGACAGGGAGGAAATATGAGATCTTCATTGAAGTGTTTGATAAGTCAGGCCACAAGCTTTATCTGTCTGACGTAAGTTGAGTTTGGACTTTTAAAATATGTCTTTGTTTTTTCTATTCTTTTCAATATCACTAAATGCATCTTCTGCTCATCATGAGTAGAGAGATATCTGAAAACTTCATAAACAATTACTAAATCACTACACTCGCTTAAAGGGATAGCTCACCCGAAAATAAAGCATTGTTCTAGCCTGACACATAAGCACGTTTGAGCTTCTGTTTGCCATATTTGATGTGCTCGAAGTACATTTGCTGATCAGTGTTTATATGATAATAAAATCCTACATTACATATGGTCATTACATAAAGTTATCAGAAGACTTTTCAATGTTTTTTTGTACTTTTTAATGGCATGAAAGTTTTGGTTGCGTTGACTTGTGGGTTTGGAACGACATTAGGGTGAATGACAGAATACACATTTTCCCTTTAAGGTAGATCAATGTTTTATTCATTATTAAAAGATGCACATAAACTTTGATAAACACAACTACAGAATAAAGTACCAGCTGCGCATCAAAAAGCTCATGTGACTGCCTCACGTCAGTGGACTAATTAACTTTTATGGTATACTCAGTGGTTTTTGTATGTGCAATCTAAACCACACAAGTAATTTATTAAATTTAATAAAAAAAACTACAACAGTGGTTTCCTCAAAAGGCTATAAATGTGAATGATGCTTCTGTTCTTTTGAACATATGAGATGGAAGTGGTTCTTTAAAAAAATATTGTAAAAACAATTAGTTAATAGTGTAAATTAAATTCAAAACTTGTGGCAGTGTTTTATTTTATTTTATGAAAACTCATATTTTCACAGAATATCCGTATAGAAACCACATTCCCTAGCGAGTACTTTGTGGTTCTGGAATCGTCTGTTAATGGATCTTACCACCACGTGAGAGCTTTGAGACGAGGTCAGACTGGGATTGATGGCACACTGAAAGCAGTCGTCGATCAAGTAGGTTTTTGTCTTGTTACAGGGTGAACATTTGTTTTCTTAAGCATTTAAAATTGTATCATTGACCCCAGTTACAAGGATCTTCCCAGTGTTCAGTGGTGGTTTATCGACACTACTCTAGTTTGTTGTGACCTCGTGTGTGTCTTCAGGCAGGAAGTGTCCACGCACTCTCTGTTCCTGTGCGTAACGAGCAGGACGTGGAGATCTACGACCCCATCGTCCTCAGACCCGCCATCCTCACCTTCCCATGGCAGCCTAAAGAGGGAGCCTACCAGTACACCATCCAGGTGTCGTACGGCTCTCTTTTCTTTGTCAGACACTAATCATTTAGCATTGTAAACACATAAGTGGAAATAGTTTGAATCTGTTCTTATGTGTGAGGTGTGTGCATGAATGTGATGTTGTGTCTGCTTCAGGCGACTGGAGGGAGTGGGAACTTCAGCTGGTCGTCCACTAACGCGGCCGTCGCCACGGTCACAGTGAAGGGCGTGATGACCACGGTCCGGGACGTCGGCGTCAGTGCGGTCTACGCCCACGACGTCAGAAATCCCCTGCACTACGGAGACATGAAGGTGAGGCCAACGCTCATGCTCGTACAAATCAAGATGGGTTTAATTACTGGTCTAGATGTATCATTCTTGAATTTTTTTTAAATAACTGATTGTGTTTGAGCATAGACATTTTGAGCTCTTCTCTTAGATAATCTGTTTTCTGAAAATTAATTTATTTTAAACAATGTATCAAAATAATATTGTAATCATAATTATTTGTACAAATTGAAATACTGTTGATTGCCATGAATATAGCCTTTGCTGCTGATATGGCGTTAAATCATAAATTAGTGCTGTGCAAAATAAAAGTTTGTTTACGTAATGTGTGTGTACTGTGTATAATTATTTTGTATATATAAATACACACACATGCATGTATATATTTAAGAAAAATGTGTTATTTATATATAAAATATTTATATTTATTTATAATATAAATTATGTTTAAATATATAAACAGTAGATACATGCAAATATTTCTTAAATGAATACATGCATATGTGTATATTTATATATATACGAAAATAATTGTGAACTGTACACAAACATATATGACGTAAACGCAAACTTTTATTTAGGATGCGATTAATCGTTGCCCAGCCCGAAATGAATGAATAATGCGTGTGCTCTGTTGCTCCTGCAGGTGTATGTGATCGAGCCGGTGGGCATGGAGTTCAGCCCGTGTGCAGTGGAGGCCCGCGTGGGCCTGAACCTGGACCTGCCGCTGCGCATCTTCGGTCAGCTGGCCGGAGAGAGGGTGACGCTCAGTGACTGCTCACACTTCGACATGCAGGTGGACATGGAGAGCCACGGCCTCTTCCAGCTGCTGGAGGGTGAGTTCAGTTCACGCTAAACGAACAGATTCGGTTTCTTGCCTGGAACCGGATCGTTCACCTACAAATCAATCTATTACCTCCCTCGAGTTGCTCCAAACCTGTATGAATTTATTTCTTCTTCTGAACACTAAAGAAGGTATTTTGAAGAATATGGGTAACCACTGTTTACTTTCACTTATGACATATACAACTGTTATATTTGACGATATTTTGACATAATTTGGGGTATTTGTCCGTTCAAGTGCAAGAAGACATGAAAGAGACTCCATTCAGTATTCGTTATGTGCAAGTGCTCAGAAAACAGAATTGAGATCTCTTTCGAATCTTCTTGTGCTTCGGTTTAAAACCACATTAAATGTGTTCACAGGAATCGATGAGAGGAATTAAAATTGTAATTTTATAACTAGTATCTGATTCCTGACCTTAAGGATCCGATTCCGGCTTATTGTGCTTAATTACTTTTTTGGATTTTTTTGGATTTATCACACTAAAGTGTTAATGATTTTTAGTACTGTGCTAATGTGGGTATATATATGCATACCACGGTATAAACAATACAGCAAAATCTCTAACGATTATATATATCGTCATAACTCCCAGCCCTACCGGAAGTACAAAGGTCAAATCTTTTTTAAACAAAAAAAGACATACGGGTTATGCATAATAATGAGAGCGTTTTTCACAGCAGGTGATTTGAAGTCCTGCATTAATGGTGTATAAATGCGAAAATTACAAATAATATCTTGATACTCCGTTTGTGTTATTTAAGAGATACAAATATGATTTTGTTGTATTAATATTGGCAGATTTAACAGAAGCAAGCAAAGTGTTATGCTAGTAATCCAAGTGTGTGTAGAGTTGTACTCTTGCAGTATTTTTTGAGTGTGTGTGTCTTCAGGTAGACTTGCTCCAGGTCAGGGCCACTGCAGCGGGGTTCGTGTTAAGGCCTTGACCCCTGGTTACACCAACCTGTTGGTCAGCTATACCCATAGTAATGTTCACCTCAGTGCAAAGATCACCATCGCCGCCTACCCGCCTCTCAAGGTAAGATGTTTGAATATGCGTTTAAAGATGGAGGAGTGAGCAGTGACCTGTAGATGACGTGCCTCCTCGTCTTCGGCAGCCGGTTGACCCCGTGGCTGTGGCTGTGGTGACGTTGGGCTCCTCTAAAGACATGCTGTTTGAAGGAGGCCCGAGGCCCTGGGTGCTGGAGCCATCCAAGTTCTTCAGGAACCTGACGGCTGAGGACCACAGCAGCGTTGCGCTGTCTCTGCAGGGCCCTGCCTCGCGCTCCTACTCCCGACACCTGGTCAGAGCCACGTGCAGAGCTCTGGGAGAACAGGTACATCTCATGTCCTGCAGACCCGGCGTGTTCTCCGGTCTCTGTAGCTCCTTCCCAGCGCAGGTCCGGACTGTACTTTTTAGAAACCGAACTTATACATCTCCATCAAGGCAGCCGTAGTTCTCTGTAAAAGAAAAAAAACCTTAACGCTTAAAATAGTCATCAAAGATGGGCCCAGGGAGCCAAAAGAGTTTTTTTTTTTTTTTTTTTTTTTTAACCAAAGATTTACCCAAAAAAAGTAAATATTTCTCCCAACTGGATATGAATATAAAGAGGTTAGCTCAGATGTATGCTATTTTTATTTATTTATGTATTGTACATTTAGACACCTATGTGTATGGCACATAGAAGGCACTGAGAAAACAGGGTTTACCTCTCATGAAAAGTATGGACCATTTTTATATTTTACTCAAAGCAATAGTTAGATTACATACATTGTTTGTTTTTTAGTAATCAAAACTCTTATCATGAAGACAAAACAAAGTTAACTAGTTATTTATACTTTTTTTTTTTCTTTACTTGCCATCTCTAAATAATTTTCCAAATTCTAACATTGTTTATTATGAAATGCTCTTTATATGCTGATTAATAATCCTAAATGTATGAAAACAATGTCTAAAGACAACACATCAACTTGTGTCAAACCTTGTTTAGTTAAATGGTCAGAGTAATCTGTATGACAGATACAAATAATTGTATTAGCTGCATTGTTTTCTGCAGTGTTTTAGTGAAAGTATCTATTTTGCTGCGCACCGTGTTTCTGCTACTGTTGGTAAAATAACTGCGTCATCTGCAGCTCTTAATGTGGAGCTTTATAAGCGAGGGGAAGAGAGAAGCAACGTGCACAGAGCGGACAGGGCTTGAATGAAGCACTTTTAGCTCTAGATAAAATATAGATATAGCTCCGAAAGGTCATTACCATAAACAACCCTGAGTGCTTGTGACGTGAACCGCTCCGTTATGACGTGCTGCTCACTTTCATCTGTAGAAACGGTAAAATGGAGCAATTATGTCCCACGATCCGGATGGAACCAGTCCGCCATTTGAGCAACACTGCTCTAGACTGTCCACTAGGAATGTGGATTGATATGTTTGATTGATATGTTTGAAATGTTCGAATAATTGTGTCTCCGCAGATCTTAGCAGTGACTGTTGGGAACCAGCCCACCATGACGAACCCCTTCCCTGCGGTGGAACCGGCTGTTGTGAAGTTTGTGTGTGCTCCTCCATCACGCCTCACACTGACCCCCATCTACATGAGCCCTCAGCTGGACGTGTCCTGCCCTCTGCTGCAGCAGAACAAACAAGTGGTGAGCACCCAAACGCTCAGCGTCTGCAGGCTTAAGGGACCTGAGATATACATGACCTATAATGCCCTTTCACAAGATGGAAAATAAGTCTCTGAAGTCCCCAGAGTGTGTGTGTGTGTGTGTGAAGTTTTAGCACAAAATGCCCCATAGATATTTTTTAAAGCATGTGAAAATTTGGTTAGGGTTAAAAAAACAGAAAATTTCTAAAACTTTTAGCCTTTTATGTTCAAACCGGAGTCGGACAAAGATGGAGAGACTCAAGAAGAAGTGACGACATGTAGAACAACAGGACATTTTATGAATTGTTAGTTGATGAATTTATGTAGCTTATGTGGAGTTAACTATCTTCTAGTCATTGATTAGCATATTCTGTGATGACAATCTATAATTGCGTTCCCGTGGGCGGGGTTTATGTAAATATTGGGGTTGGTGATGTCACTAACCCAGGAGGAAGCTTGTGTAGTTCCTACCAGCCGTTTGTTGTAGTCCTTAAAAAGCGATTTCTGTAAACGAAAATATCTCCCTTTGCTTTGAACTTTGAGCATTGTAACTTTGCAGATGTTTATGCTCAAACAGCGACATTACACACTGACTACAGTTAGAAAAGTGAAATCATAATCAAGCACCCCTTTAACATGAAAGAAGTTCAGTGTCATTTGTGCTCGTTCTGCAGGTGCCCGTCTCCAACTACCACAACCCCGAGCTGGATGTGTCGGCCTTCGACCAGCAGGGACGGAGGTTTGATAACTTCAGCTCGTTGAGTATGATCTGGGAGTCCTCCAGAGTCTCCCTGGCCAGCATCGAGCCGACCATGCCCATGAAACTACACGTGCACGAGGACGACAGCAAGCAGAAAAAACTTCACGGTACCTTATAATGAATACTGAGATCATTGGTGATTATGAAGTACAAATATGTATTAGGGAAGGATGGTATGGCAAAAATCCTAACACTGAGGGCCAGATGTACGTGCATTTGCGAACGCTGCGTTGATAGCGCCATGGCCAGGACGCAGAAAGCGCTAGATGTGAAAGCGCAGTGTGTGTGTTATGTACCAAACCTGCAGTTCATCAGGTAAATGTGCCTGTCCACACACACTATACCGTAAACTAATGGGTCTCCTCCTCTCACTGCGTTTGAAATGATCCTGATGGCAATAATTGTAATGTAGCGAGGAGTTTAACAACTGCTGGAATGGAATGTGAACGCTGAGTCGGAGATTCGATGTCATCTCTGATTTCTTCCAGTAACTAATATTGCGGAGCTGCTTAATCTGTAACGCTTAATGATTTTGTTTTCACTCAACTGAAAAAGTGTGATTCTTGTGGCAAAAATATTTTCAGCTCGTCTCCTATGTCTTCGTCTTGCCCGGATTACTGCTGCCACTTCACCAGGAGGCGTATGCCAGGAAACCCGCTTCCTAAGTTACACCTGCTTTTAAGAGGCGGAGAATCTTCAGCGCAAAATAGAGGCGCGCTTTCACCGGCTTTTTCTGTACATAACGCGGAATACGTAATTAGGCGCAGTTTACGCTTCCCCTCCCATCTCTTTATGGGACACTTTCCCCTTGACCATCCCATCAATGCATATGTATGACACGAAAAGCGCATTTTGCCATTTTCAGTTCCCGTGACAGGCAGTCTGCGCTTTCCTCTCGGTGCGTTCCATTCGTACATACCTCGCCATGGTTTTATGCGCACTTTGCGAAACAAATACGCCTGAAGTGGGCGCAAAAGCGTTAGTACATCTGGCCCAGACTCATTTTATATAGCATATATCACAATAAATCAATTTAAACACTAAAACATGAGCATAAGATTACAGCTGAAACAAATGGTTGATAATATTAACAATAAATAGCCAGAAAGACCAAAATGTCAAGTCTCCTTTATTTATATAGCGCTTTTTACAATACAGATTGTTTCAAAGCAGCTTTACAGAGATAACAGGAAAAGTTTGTTTCTGCTGTACAGCAGATCTAGAAGAAAATGGCATCACAGTCCAGCTTAAGTCAGTTCGTTTTTGTTGTAAAAAAGGTATTAATTTAGTTCATTTATATATATATATATATATAGCCGCTCTGGAGAAAACAGTGATGTCATCGTCCAGCTCAGTTTTCATATCAACAATATTGTTGAGTATTAAGTGTCACCAACTAAGCAAGACAAAAGCCAATGGTGACATGATAGTAGTACAAGTATCAAAGTATGAGTATAAGCATAATTGCGTACATAAAGTATCAGTTTTGACATGCCTATATCGCACATAACCATTATACAAACAGTGGGACTGAATTATATTTTTCTACATATTTAATCAACTGGTTCACACACTTCTACTGTCACACAATCATATACCGCCATACCGCTCAGCCCTGGTATTTGTGATGCATATATGAAATGTGTGTTATGTATATATAAAAAGTGTCGTATATATAAAAAATGTGGTGTGTTCCCCGCAGGTCGCCAGACGGTGCTGGTGCATCATGAGTCGGGTGTGGCAGCGATCACTGTGACCGCGGTCGGCTATCAGACGCCGCACCTGGAGCGCGCCGCGGTTCCCAGCGGAGTGAGTCCCTCTTCCTTCATATCAAAGTGTTGTTTAAACCGCAACCAAATCCACAATAAATCGACTCCCTTTACTTCAGATCGAATACAATACAAGGTTGCAGTCGATATGCACGTTTATTATTTTAGCTTTTGTTTTTTACTCAAAGCCTCGAGGCCAGTTCACATGTGTGGAATGACTAGTTTTTACAAAGTTCAACTTCTTTTTACTTGAGCGCCAGGTTTTTAAAATGCTGTGTCATGGCGTAGACGTGAACGCAGCGGTCAAACATCCGTCTGGCTAATGTAACGAGAGAAAAGCAAACAAATTCTTTAATGAATTTATCTAATTATAACTGTCAGGTTCAGGGCAGTGAGCGCCCATCCTCATCTCTTGTATTAGTTCACAAAGCTGCTTGGACAGCAGAGTTCAAGAGAAAAATATCAACTGTGCTTATTAATGTGTTTATTCTTATTGGCAAGGTTTTTTTTTTTAATTAGGATAACTATTGCTAACCAAATTAATATTTATTGTATTAATATTACATGGGTTAAATTGCGAAGCTGGCACAGAGGTGTATAAGGGGTTTTAGGTATTAGGTTTTTTTAAGCCTAAAAGTATGTGACCGCGATGTTGTTTCTGCTCCAGGTCTCTGGTGCACAGTAATACGTCAGTGTCATTTCGCAACGTCATCTCGTTCACTTCTGATGGATATAGCCAGCAACGAGAGTCCATTCGTGCGCTAGAGCCGACCCTGAAACGAGGGCTGTCGGAGCCATGTGGCGGCAGAGGACGTGGGTTCGGTGGATCTCTGGTTTAGGCTGAGCGATCAGCATCAGAGAGGGCCTGATCCTCCACTTCTGGAGATCATGAGCCGCCTCGTTACCTCAGCAGGAAGTGACCAACTCTAACCACACATCACCCAACACAGTTACCGTTGCCACAACAGAGCTAACCGCACAGGAAGCTGAAACGGCACACGCTAGCTCTGTGCTAACGCCTAGCCAGCAGTTTACAGCGACTGGCAGACGCTTGCTAACGAAGATGAACCTTCAGGTTCATTTCAAAGGCTCTTCTTGGCAGCAATAGTCACACATATAGTGTTAATTCTATTCCTATCCTGATTCTCCTAACATGTTGCTAAGATAACGATAAGGAAAAGACCTCTTACTGGTACAAGATGATATATCAGCAAATTTGTGGCATTGGCAAGTTTTTCTGTTTGGGCGATTAAATGTTGTGAGCTGGACTTTTATTTTGACCGTATTGAGAACCAAGACACCAATTCTGTCTTCATTAGTTTCCCATCTTTGTTTCACAGATTTGTCTATTAATCGATAAGCAAACTTTTTTATATATACCGTTGCCATTCCGGAAATCAGCATTTATATAATTTAAAGAAGTCTTTAAACACCTGTTAAACATGTCATTCCACAAACCTCCCCAACTTTGGTAAATCCAGCTGAAGAGCTCTCTGTAACCCGTTTACAGTCGATGTTCTCTGTCCGAGTGAATGGTTGAACCTGTGTGGATCAGATGTGCACAGCAGAGGCCGGCCGGCACTGGACACGCGTTTCTTTATTTTTAAAAATGCCATAACAAGATTACAGAATCAAGTAGTTGCTATCTAAAGTATAAATCCAAAATCAAACATCTTAGATTGATACATTTTCAAATAAATATTATGTAGTAAATATTAAGTAAAATAAATCTAAATATAATTGTAAAGCTATGTTATGTACTATTGTTAAAATCCCCCTGTGTTAAAATCAAGCTTTTAATGTTGTTTATATGTCTATGTGGTGTTTTTGAGATGCTTTAATTGGCATCAGCCAGCAAAAAAATCCATATCTGTGGACGACTGCCTTTTACTCATACATATTGGATCGTTTTGAACTTCAGTGTAAATTGGATCTCTGATTCATGTGTGTTTTGTTTACATGTGTGTGTTAGTTTGACCCTCTGAGCCCCGTCTCAGCCACGCTTGACCTTCTGTTAGTAGAGGACGTGAGGGTGACCCCTGACACCATCACCATATACAACCATCCCGATGTGGCGGTAAGATCTCTCTCTCACACACACACACACACACACACACACACGCTCTGCTGTGCCTGAAAGAGCTTGTCCAGTGTGCCTGACACACACTTCTCTGCAGGCGGATCTGACTCTTCAGCAGGGCTCCGGTTATTTCTACATCAACGCAAGCGTCGGGGGGATCGCAGAGGTCACGTTTCAGGAGTCCCAGGGAATTGCTCAGGTAACATGTTAAAGGACTGGTCCAGCTTCAGTAGGAGATGAGCTCTATCAGGGGGTATTGGTGGCATTTTGTATTAGGGTTGGGTATCGTTTGAATTCAAACATTTAGATATCAAACATATATATTGTCTTTTTGCTAAACATTCTGTTGCAGCTGAATACCATGACCAAAATCAGCAGCCTAAAGAACAACTAAGTAACTAACTAATATAAATTTCAAACATTGTTAAAGTATACAGTCAGTAATACATTAAGAACCAATAAGCAAATTAGCAATAGCAGGATCCTATATACTGTTACACAGTTCACATTCACTTAAGACTTAACTTGCTGTGTTTACAAGGATATTTTGACATAATTTTGTGTTTTAAATTTGTACATTTGTGTGTTTGTGTCATAATTTTATATTTGTTCTTCCAAGCGCGAGAAGACTCAAAAGAGAACTCAATTCAGTATTGATGCACTATATTACAAATCACCCTAAGAAAAAGAGGAATTAATATTTTATCCCATGGGTTTAAGTTATCATTGACCTGTAACTGTTCTATTCCCATTAAACAAGTGTATTCTTATAAGTGTTATTGACTGTGTATTAACCCGGAGAGCTTATACTGAGCATCTCTGCTCTAGACGACAGCAAAGGCTTCAGCAGACTCAGGCCTGGTTTCACAGACGGGGATTAGATTAAGCCAGGATTAGGCCTTGGACACATTTATAAAAGCTACTTAAATGCTCTAATTGAACTTGGATAAAAACATTACTGGTGTTCATCTTGAGACAAAACAACGGCAGTGATATATTTTAAGATAGTAATTGTAAAGATAGTAGTTGCTTTCAGTTAAAACAGATCAAACTGATCCAAGCCTGGTATGAGAACGTTTCAGATTAGATGTCAGCTTGTGAGTTTTGTGAAAACCGCAGTTAAAACTGTGGAAGTGTACACTAAAAAAATAAATTGGTTTTAATTAACTTTTTTATGTCAACAGGTTCTGATATGTTGGCTTTAATTGACTTTTTTATGTCAACTGGTTCCACATAACTGGGTTACGTTAAACAAACATAATTTGTTCATGTAACTTCAACATCATGGAATCAAAGTCATTTTAAGCGACCCAATTAAACTCTGAGCAGAGTGTTAAATGAACACTGAAGCAGTGTTAAAGTTAATAAGATAATTAAGTAAATAATTTAGTAATGATTGAGCATTATTGAAGACACCTGATGTTAACAAGCAGAATCACTAAAGGAGAAAACAGGAATTATAGGTCACCATTATGGTGATCAGTGTTCTAGTTGGGCTCTTGACCCTCACATTATTAACTTTAGATTATGTTTGGCTGTTGTGCATGAGTTATAACAGCCAGATGATCAAATAGAAAAGGTGATCTGATGGTGTTGGTTGTGTTTTAACATAATCATTATATCACAATCATTTGACCTGAATCACTGAACTCATATAGAACCCAATTTCTGAGTTAAGTTTACCTTATGGATTATAGCAGCACTGTCGTTGTAGAGCATACCATTTTTAGCCTTCTCAATAAAAACCAATTGATCAAATCAATAAAAAGTAATCAAAGAGGAACTACTAAAATAAAACAGTTTATGTAGGCACACACAGACATCAAGAATCAGCCTGTGAATCTCAACAATGGTGACACTTATAAAGCATGTTGCAGTTCATTCTGGGTGCCACAAATCAAAACTCATTCATGGCTCCCATCATGCATTGCTGCATGAATAAATAATGAGCTTAGGTGATCTGTTTGTCACCATTGCTGAGATTCATACGTTAATTCTTGATGTCTGTGTGTGCCTGCATACAATTGTTTTTTTTGTTTGTTTTTTAAACAAAAGTTTTTTTTTATTGATTTGATCATTTGGATTTCATTGAAAAGGCTAAAAATGGTATGCTCTACAATGATAGTGCTGCTATAATTCATAAGGTAAACTTAACTCAGAAATTGGGTTCTATATGAGTACAGGTCAAATGATTATGTTAAAACACAACCAACACCATCAGATCACCTTTTCTATTTGTTTTTCTGGCTGTCATAACTCAGATACAGCAGCCAAACTAAATCTAAAGTTAACGATTTAAGGGTCAGGAGACCAACTAAAACAAACACTGATCACCATAATGGTGACCAGAAATTCTGGTTTTCTCCTTCAGTGATTCTGCTTGTAAACATCAGGTGTCTTCAATAATGCTCAATCCTCACTAAATTATTTACTTAATTATCTCATTAACTTTAACACTGCTTCAGTGTTCATTTAACACTAGTAATTAAACAGAGTTTTATTGGGTCGCTTAAAATGACTTAATTCCATGATGTTGAAGTTACATGAACAAATTATGTTTGTTTAACGTAACCCAGTTATGTGGAATCTGTTTACATAAAAAAGTAAATTAAAGCCAACATTTCATTTTTTTGAGTGTATAAAATAGCAGACAGCAAACATTGCAGATGTTAAGATTGACCAGTAACGTTTTTAAGGCGAGACTGAGGGGTTCGTTTATATGATTGGATTTTTCTTTATGTAAACAATCACTTTCTGGTATCCTTCACTTGTGAAGAATAAGTGTGTTTTATTGTTATTAATATGCACTTCAGTGTAGTGTAACTTTTAAAACCTTCACAGGATATTTTTTTTAAACTACTTGCAGATACTATAAAGTTAATTAAATAAAAACATCCGCTTAAGTGCACTTAAAGAGAGTACACTTTCATGTTTGTTTCTTAACACGCTTTAGTCCACTTTGCAATGTCAAATTAAAACTTTTACCTTAAAGTACATTATAAGTCATTGTTTTATTAATCTTTTGTTGTATTTTGAAGAAGTACACTTATTTTGATGTTGAAAAAAGTTAGAAAAAAGCACATGTAAAGTACATTATTATATTTTTAACTATATTGTGTTGTTGTTTGATATTACATTTAAAGTTAATATATTTTAAATGCACTAAATTGCAACATTTAATACCAAAAGCATTACGTTGAGTTTGTAATTAAGTTTAAAAGTATATTTTTATAATAAGTACTACTGAAAGTATGCTAAAGTGTATTTGCTTGTATGATGTGAAACTTGGCATTACATGGTCATAACAGAAGATGTAACTTTACACAGACAATATTAATGTGTTTCTGTTACACTTTTTTTACTTTTGTAAACTGAGGAATCAGTTAAAGGTTTCTGTGAAATGCCCATTAAAGCTTAACTTGTGTTGAACCTGGTACATTAAAGTATTTCACAGACTCTGTTAGTGAGCTGACTGCACAATGTAAATAGTTTTTTACAGTGTACAGAAGAAACAAGTTATTACCAATGTAGTTTCTAATCTAATCTCATGCCATTGTGACTCAGGTTGTCCCAGCTCAGGCGGGGGTCTTGCAGGTGATGGTTCATGACCTTTGCTTGACCTTTCCTTCCCCCGCCACGGCTACAGTTCACATCTCTGATATTCTGGAGGTTTATGTGCGTGTGGTAGACAAGGTTGGTGACATCCACTCAAAAAAAACTTGAATGTATTAAAATAGATTAAGGAAGTCCACTAACAAATCCGTTTTGAAAATATAAAAGCCTCATTTCATGCATGTGCACTTTGATCTTTTATGAAGTGGTTTTGAAATCAGAGGTTAAATTCAGATTACACTATCATTTTAGGTTGAGATCGGCAAGTCAGTCAAAGCATACGTTCGGGTTTTGGACGGCAACAAGAAGCCTTTCCTGTCCAAGTACTTCTCTGTCATGAACCTGAAGCTGAGGGCAGCGTCGTCCATCATCTCTCTGCAGTGAGTAACCGATTGCTCATCTTTACTCGATGTGCTGGCGTCTGTGAAAGCTAATACGCTTCTGTTGTTTGTCAGAACTCTGCCCGATTCATCAGAGGAAGATACGGCCACATTTCTGGTCAAAGGTCTGGTGATCGGACAAACCAGTGTGTCTGCTTTCGTCATTGACAAAAACGGCAGGAAGATCACCTCTGCACCCCAACAAATTGAAGTAAGCTTCTTCTGTGCTGTCATTTACAGCTTTTTTGAAAGGATTGCGTCAAACTTTTTTCATAGTTACACTACAGGGCTGATGAATGCTTGATTCTGATTGGTTGACGCTCTAAGGTGTGCAATTATTGTCCAGTAAACGCACAGCTATTGTTGTTCCAGGCAGGTCGCATTATAATATTAGTTGACCGCATTACAGTTTTATATCACTTCGCTAAATTATTCCATTTATTTATAAAAGTCTTTACAGCCTACAACAGCAAATGAACCAAGATCGACAGAGATACTCACTAGGATAAAAAACGACAAACTATATCCATGTTTTCCCCACAAAATCACATTTCAATTACAAATAGTAAGTAATATAAAAATAACACGATTAAATGATATGGATGATAAATGGTAAAAATTATTGAATAATTGAATATAAATGATTGACTGTAAATATTAGCTAAAGCAAATGGGAAAAAATACACAATTGAAAGATTGCCCTGTTGAAGCCACACTCACACAGGTTGCTTCTGAAAACTCAAATTGGATCCTCAGATCCTTCATGGTGATAACAATTCCTGAAGACTTCTTTCTTGAATGTGTTTTTCCGATCTGTAGGTCTTCCCCCCCTTCAGACTGCTGCCCAGGAAAGTCACTCTGATAGTTGGAGCAATGATGCAGGTACGTAATTATTTGTATTTATTCCAGTACGTTTCAGTTACTTTCCTCTTGTCTAATGCACTCAGATCTGATGTGTAAATTAGCTGTTGAACACACAAAACACAAGCCAATGCTGCACTCCAGAAGTAGGGCACCTTTTTTTAGTTCAGAGTTAAATCATTCTGGTTGATGAAACTGAATCTTTGCATTCATGTAAACAGATTTATGATCCAAATCTGAATGAATCTTTTGATGTGCATTCATAATACATGTGCTCGCCATTGGGCCTTACACACTAACTGTGCATGTGTGAAATTTGTGTACGTTTTCACAAACAAATCATTATTCATGATTCATAACCATTGTACTAAAATTTATTCTAAATGTACAAAAATATTTAATGCAAATTACTAACCTCAAGCATGCAGTCAGTCATTAAGAACAAATTGTGAATACGCATGTGTTCTCACATGACATCTTCCATTAGAAGTTCTCTTGTGCTTATTAAAATGAACAGTGTACACAATAATTAGTGAATGAGACTGTCTTGTGCTGGATGACTGGATGATGGTCGAAAAGAATAACACAAATCATGTTCTTCAGTGCTGCCAGAAGCACTGTACTCAAGCGCATTATCAACCTGAAAGCCAATGACATGATTTATGTTTGTCAGTGGTCCTCCAACCATTGTTTTAATCTATTAATGTTATAGAGCTACATCTGTGCATGACACGTCATGACGCCAACGCTGCATCAGTGTTGAACATGCACAGAACATCCCCGTTTCAGAGTAAAAGAAATACACAACCACTTTCAATCTCCTCATTTCAGCTTTTCCATTCGCTTCGAGGTGTTTCTTTAACACTTGTTTTCATGTGCCTCCTCAAACAGCACACGTCTGTCCGTCATGTACATGGCACGTGTAGCGACACATGGTGTTTTTAGGGCTATCTGACGCGTGGCTCCAAACTAATGCACTTCCAGTCCAGTACTGCATTTATCTTCTTTATTTGTCTCAGTTCTAAGGCTCAAACACATCGCAATCACCAGTTAGCATGTCCTTACGTGATCCTGACACGGTCAAATTGTTTGCTTCCCTCATTCATTACACCTGACATCTCTTGCTCCAAATATACCAAATTAAACCCATACTCCACTCAGTGTTTCCCAGTGGAACTACAACAGACATTTAAATGGAGCATAATGGCTCTTACAGCACGTCTATGATCGGTTTTCTGATGTCAGGATGAATGTCATCTGTTCGTTTATAGATCACATCAGAGGGAGGCCCGCAGCCCCAGTCCAACATCCTCTTCTCTCTCTCCCGTGACCACATCGCCTCAGTCAACAGCCTGGGTCACGTCCAGGGCCTGTCGGTGGGCAACATGAGCGTGACCGGTGTGGTTCAGGCGGTCGACACGGAAACAGGCAAACTAGTGGTGGTGTCAAAGGTGATGCTTCTCTACAGACACATGTGCAGATGGTTGAAACCATATTGGTCTGTGTGGGGAATGACATAATGGGATAGTTCACCCAAAAATGAAAATTGTTATCAGTTGTTCTCCCTCATGTCGTTCCACTCCCAAAAGACTTTCTTTCAGCTCCAAAACACCAATGAAGATTTATTGTAACCTGAGAAACTTCTGTCCCTCCATTGTAAGTCTGTTCACCCAAAACTCTGACGGTTCAAAACGGAGATTGTAAAATAAATCCAAAAGAAATGAGCGGTTTAATCCAAATCTTCTGAAGAGACCCGATCGCTTTATATGATGAACAGAGCTTTGGGTGAACAGACTTTCAAAGGAGGGACAGAAATCTCTCAGATTTCCTTAAAAATATCTTCATTTGTGTTTCGAAGAGGAACGGCATGAGAGTGAGTGCTTGATGACAGAATGAACTAACCCTTTAGATATCGTTATTGACAGGATCAAGTGGACATTGAGGTGGTGCAGCTGAAGGCCATAAGGATCCGAGCCCCCATCACCAGGATGAAGACGGGGACGCTGGTAAACACACATCATGTTTGCGCAATGTTTTGTCTGCAGACTGCAGAGTATGTTGTCTTGTTTGGTGTCAGCTTTGGTGTCTTGCTGTAGATGCCGGTGTATGTGATGGGCCTGAGCAGCAGTCAGACGCCCTTCTCTTTCGGGAACGCTCTTCCCGGCCTCAGCTTCCACTGGTCTGTGACGAAGAGAGACGTTCTGGACGTCCACACACGCCATGCAGAGGTCAGGACAAAACCCTTCTCTGATGCACACTGCTTGTGTTCACTATTCCTGTGTTCATTTTAGCTTCGTCACAGCTGGTATCTCAATATTTTTCTAAGTATTGACGATGTTATTTAAATGATGATGTTTTATTGAGTAAAACACTCAATATGTTTGCATTTGCTCTCAATACATTTAAAAAAGTGAAAGGAAAGAAAATAGACATGAACAACTGTTGTTTCAATGTACATACAATGTATCATACATAAGTGCTTACTGCAAAACACTAGTTTAAAAATGAATTTATCTAGACCTTTTTTTTAAATAAATGAACACCAATTTAAAATATAAAAATATAAGCTAACACTTTATTTTACAATGTCCTTTTTACATATGTTACATGTACTTACCATAGTAATAACAGTAAATTATGCATAATTACATGCAATTAACCCTCAAACAAATCCTAATCCTAACCTAACCCTATAGTAAGTACATGTAGTAAAAATATTAATATTACTCAGTGCTTAAATATATAATTACACTGAAACAATGACACCTTAAAATAAAGTGTAACCCTTTATTTTAAGGTGTCTTTGTTACACTGTAATCATACATTTAATAATAATATTAAGTAACTTCATGTACTTACTATAGGGTTAGGATTAGGGTTTGGTTGAGGGTTAATTGCATGTAATTATGCATAGTTTATAGTTCTGTCAGGTCCATTAAGTCAAGAACACACATGACAATAAATGATTAGGAAATTGTATTGAATAAAATGCAATTCAAGTTGATAATTAAAATTTGGCGGTATGGCTCTGTTCAGGGAGTCCTCTGACCTTTCATGAGCACCATGAAATAGCAGAGAGTCAGAGGACAGCAGCAGCATTAGGCAACGCTCACAGTTTAGTACTGGGAGAGCAGAACTATTGCCTCCAAACAAACCATACCTGGCAACCTCTTGTGAATAGACAAGAGATGGAATTAGACTATTCAAATACTTAGAAATCTTTATTCATAAATACGAATTAGTTGGCAATATGTTTCAGTTCAGATGAGTCTCCTGATCATTCATGAGCACCATGAATTTAGCAGAGAGTCAGGGGACAGCAGCAGCATTAGGGGATGCTCACATGAATTAGGAGAGCTGAACTATTTCCCCCAAACAGACCATAAAGCAACCTCCTGTGATAAAATAAATGAAGGATGAATTAAGCAGCCAGTAAGCGCATCCAGGGGCAATGTAACTAGCAGAAGAAAGACAAGTAAGATTTAGCAGATGAGACTTTCTTTTAATTGATTCACTGAATAGTGACTGTTACTATGCCTTTTTAGAGCTGTGCCACAGCAGAAATAATTCAGTTTGCACCATGAATTGTTATTTACTAACTATCTATCACTGCAAGCTGCTTGATCTGTGCTGCATAGTGCTAATATCGCTGCATAGTGCAACTTGAGCAGTTGCCAATGACAAAAGATTAGTAATATTAATAGATTAGTCACATTGCCAATATGACCAAATGAGCCTTGCAAGAGCATTTAAATGAAAACGACTAGATAAGCCCAAGCACACGGATAGCATTAGCAACAGCATGGTGCCCATATCCTAATAACTTTTAACGATGAGCATTAAAAAGAAACTTAGCTTAGCTTCGTGAAAACTTCAGAGATGAATGGAGAGTGAATACATCGAGTCCTGTTTCAATATTGCAGAGAGCGAGCAGTTAGGAGCGAACTGAATCTGCTTAAATAGGGCGCCCTGATTTGAGCGTAGTCATTCGCAGCGAGGGGAGATGAACCGCAGATGCGCTGATGCAGCTCAGCTGAGCAAATCGCTGATGAGGCCGTGTAGTCGGCCGTTAGCGTTAGCAGCATCTTGACAACTTGGCCTGCCAGAACTGACGCTGACGCTCAATTTATTACTCTATAGTAAATAACTACATGTAACATATGAACAATGTAACAATGACACTAAAATAAGGTGTTATCAAATATAAAATTAAAAATGTGAAAATTATTTTTTTTAAATGTGGTTGTTGCAACAGTTATTTATAGATGGATAGATAGATAGCACTTTATTGTCCGTGTACACGGAAATTTGTCTTGCAATACAAGCTCCAACAATTACAACACACAACCTAAAAAAGCTAAAAACATAGTCATCAATAAAAACAGCCTCTTTGAAGAACAAAACACATGACCTGGTCCAAGTGGCAGGTCTGTTAGTTTGCGTGGACACATTTCTGTGGTGACCCTTGACTCCAGTGTCTGGTGGTGTTGTGCTTCAGTGTAAGCAGTGTGTGTGTGTGATCTCTCCTGCAGGCGTCTGTGCAGCTCAGCGCTGAGCACAACTTTGCCATGAGTGTGTTTGGCAGGAGTAAAGGCCGCACTGGACTGAGGGTGGTGGTGAAGGCCACTGTTCCTCTGGCGGGACTTCTGGAGGGCAATGCCCTTGAACTCCATGATGAGATACAGATTCAGGTAGGCGGAAACTCATTCTGTCATTCATTTGCTAAACAGAAAGCAAAGACTGACTCTACCATACATCGAATTTCAGGTCTATGAGAAACTGCAGCTGTTGAACCCAGAAGTTCAAGCGGAGGAGATACTGATGTCACCAAACTCCCTGCTGAAGCTCCAAACTAACAGGTACTTCAGTTCAGATCAACACGTATAGATACAGCTCAACACGTATAGATACAGCTCAACACATAGAGATACAGCTCAACACGTATAGATACAGCTCAACACGTATAGATACAGCTCAACACGTATAGATACAGCTCAACACGTATAGAGACAGCTCAACACGTATAGATACAGATCTATACGTATACATGTGTTGACATATAGATACAGCTCAACACTAGTGTTGCTTTCGTCAACGAAAATTATGACTAAATATCGTCGTCAACGAACCTTTATCACGTGACGAAAACGAGACGAGACGTAACGTAAATGCTGGTCATGTGACGATGACTATAACTAAATGTATAATGCAATATCGTTGACGAATAAAAACGAGACTAAATGTGGTTTACAAAATAAAAACTATGCTAAAATGTCTCTTCATTTTCGTTGACCAAAACGAGACGAAATGTTATTTAACGTTATTTCGTCTCGTTTACTTGCATTATTATTATGCAGCATTTCTGTTTCGTGTGTCACTTCAGGGGCTGCATCAGATCGCACTGTGCAGACGCAGGCGACTTCACATCCTCAAGCCCCACTCGCGGCATTATTTAGAAGATCCAGCTGCGTGAGTTACGGCTGTTTCACACATACTCCGTGTGTAGTGCTTATGCGGTGCGTGTTGCGGTGTGTATGCAGGAGCAGCACGAGCTATTGTGCTTTCACATGTGCTCCGTTTGCAGTGCGCAACTGATCTAAGGCTGTACCACTGAATCACAACATTTATTCTCTATTTTTTATTTCAAATCAATATTTTTAGCCTACATCCATTATGTCGCGTTGTTGAGGTACTGTGTAGATCTCTGCTCTGCTGTTATGCACGCACGCTCCTGGAGCGCATTGCCGGACCGCATCCGCGTGCGTGTGAGCGCTCTAACCATAGGCTCTACATGGGTGCGGGAAAAAAATTCGGAGTATGTGTGAAACAGGCATTAGCATAAACGACAACAAACAAAGTTAAGTCTGACACAGAGAAAGGGATTCGTCTTTGGGAGAAAAAGAAGAAATGACATTAGAAAAAACTTTCATTTCATCATGTGTGTAGGCTACTTCTAACATGTTTGGTTGGTAAAATAAATATGTTGTAAATTCAAATCAGAGCATTTTCCGTGTCTGGAATGGATGTATTCTTGAGTCTATAAGGTAACAATAATATAATAAGATAACAGAAGATAAGATTGTTTGAAATGGGTTTGGCTAAAAGAAAATTTTGGTTTTGTCTAGGTATAGGCTACTATATTGACTGGGTTAAATAGAATACTAAAAAGAGACTAAAATACAATTTTCATTGACTAAAACTAGACTGTCTTTCGTCGACTAAAACTAGACTAAAATGTCATCAGTTTTCGTCGACTAAAACTAGACTAGACTAAAAAGAGTATGAATGTGACTAAAACTAATAAAAACTAAAATGACAGCTTGCCACAAAGACTAGACTAAAACTCAAATTAAAACAGGCCGCCAAAAACAACACTACTCAACACGTATAGATACAGCTCAACACGTATAGATACACGTATAGATACAGCTCAACACGTATAGATACAGCTCAACACATAGAGATACAGATCAACACGTATAGAGACAGCTCAACACATAGAGATACAGATCAACACGTATAGATACAGATCAACACGTATAGATACAGATCAACACGTATAGAGACACCTCAACACGTATAGATACACCTCAACACGTATAGATACACCTCAACACACCTCAACACGTATAGATACACCTCAACACGTATACGTATAGATACAGATCAACACGTATAGATGCAGCTCAACACGTATAGAGACAGCTCAACACGTATAGATACATCTCAACACATAGAGATACAGCTCAACACGTATAGATGCATCTCAACACATAGAGATACAGCTCAACGCGTATAGAGACAGCTCAACACGTAGAGAGACAGCTCAACACGTATAGATACATCTCAACACGTATAGAGACAGCTCAACACGTATAGAGACAGCTCAACACGTATAGAGACAGCTCAACAAGTATAGAGACAGCTCAACAAGTATAGAGACAGCTCAACACGTATAGAGACAGCTCAACACGTATAGAGATACAGCTCAACACGTATAGAGACAGCTCAACACGTATAGATGCATCTCAACACATAGAGATACAGCTCAACGCGTATAGAGACAGCTCAAAACGTAGAGAGACAGCTCAACACGTATAGATACATCTCAACACGTATAGAGACAGCTCAACAAGTATAGAGACAGCTCAACAGTGTTCAACACGTATAGAGACAGCTCAACACGTATAGAGACAGCTCAACACGTATAGAGACAGCTAAACACGCATAGAGACAGCTCAACACGCATAGGGACAGCTCAACACGCATAGAGACAGCTCAACACGTATAGATGCAGCTCAACACGTATAGAGGCAGCTCAACACGTATAGAGGCAGCTCAACACGTATAGAGATACAGCTCAACACATAGAGATACAGCTCAACACGTATAGATACAGCTCAACACGTATAGAGGCAGCTCAACACGTATAGAGACAGCTCAACACGCATAGAGACAGCTCAACACGCATAGGGACAGCTCAACACATAGAGATACAGCTCAACACATAGAGATACAGCTCAACACGTATAGATGCAGCTCAACACGTATAGATGCAGCTCAACACGTATAGAGGCAGCTCAACACGTATAGAGACAGCTCAACACGCATAGAGACAGCTCAACACGCATAGGGACAGCTCAACACGCATAGAGACAGCTCAACACGTATAGATGCAGCTCAACACGTATAGAGGCAGCTCAACACGTATAGAGATACAGCTCAACACATAGAGATACAGCTCAACACGTATAGATACAGCTCAACACGTATAGATACAGCTCAACACGTAAAGAGACAGCTCAACACGTATAGATACAGCTCAACACGTATAGATACAGATCTATACGTATACATGTGTTGACATATAGATACAGCTCAACACGTATAGAGACAGCTCAACACGTATAGTGGCAGCTCAACACGTATAGAGGCAGCTCAACACGTATAGATACTGCTCAACACGTATAGATACAGCTCAACACGTATAGAGACAGCTCAACACGCATAGAGACAGCTCAACACGTATAGAGACAGCTCAACACGCATAGAGACAGCTCAACACGCATAGAGACAGCTCAACACGCATAGAGACAGCTCAACACGCATAGAGACAGCTCAACACGTATAGATGCAGCTCAACACGTATAGAGACAGCTCAACACGTATAGAGACAGCTCAACACGTATAGAGACAGCTCAACACGTATAGAGACAGCTCAACACGTATAGATACACCTCAACACGTATAGAGACATCTCAACACGTATAGGTACACCTCAACACGTATAGAGACAGCTCAACACGTATAGATACTCCTCAACACGTATAGAGACAGCTCAACACGTATAGATACACCTCAACACGTATAGATACACCTATAGATACACCTCAACACGTATAGATACACCTCAACACGTATAGAAACACCTCAACACGTATAGATACACCTCAACACGTATAGATACACCTCAACACGTATAGATACATCTCAACACGTATACGTATAGATACAGATCAACACGTATAGATGCAGCTCAACGCGTATAGATGCAGCTCAACGCGTATAGACAGCTCAACACGTATAGATGCAGCTCAACGCGTATAGAGGCAGCTCAACGCGTATAGAGGCAGCTCAACGCGTATAGATGCAGCTCAACGCGTATAGACAACTCAACACGTATAGATGCAGCTCAACACGTATAGACGCAGATCAACACGTATAGAGGCAGCTCAACACGTATAGAGGCAGCTCAACGCGTATAGGCAGCTCAACACGTATAGATGCAGCTTAACACGTATAGACGCAGATCAACACGTATAGATGCAGCTCAACGCGTATAGATGCAGCTCAACACGTATAGACGCAGCTCAACACGTATAGACGCAGCTCAACACGTATAGACGCAGCTCAACACGTATAGAGGCAGCTCAACACGCAGCTCAACACGTATAGAGGCAGCTCAACACGTATAGAGGCAGCTCAACACGTATAGAGGCACCTCAACACGTATAGAGGCAGCTCAACACGTATAGAGGCAGCGAGGCAGCTCAACGCGTATAGAGGCAGCTCAACGCGTATAGAGGCAGCTCAACACGTATAGAGGCAGCTCAACACGCAGCTCAACACGTATAGAGGCAGCTCAACACGCAGCTCAACACGTATAGAGGCAGCTTAACACGTATAGAGGCACCTCAACACGTATAGAGGCAGCTCAACACGTATAGAGGCAGCGAGGCAGCTCAACGCGTATAGAGGCAGCTCAACGCGTATAGAGGCAGCTCAACGCGTATAGAGGCAGCTCAACGCGTATAGAGGCAGCTCAACGCGTATAGAGGCAGCTCAACGCGTATAGAGGCAGCGAGGCAGCTCAACGCGTATAGAGGCAGCGAGGCAGCTCAACGCGTATAGAGGCAGCGAGGCAGCTCAACACGTATAGAGGCAGCGAGGCAGCTCAACGCGTATAGAGGCAGCGAGGCAGCTCAACGCGTATAGAGGCAGCGAGGCAGCTCAACGCGTATAGAGGCAGCGAGGCAGCTCAACGCGTATAGAGGCAGCGAGGCAGCTCAACGCGTATAGAGGCAGCGAGGCAGCTCAACGCGTATAGAGGCAGCGAGGCAGCTCAACGCGTATAGAGGCAGCTCAACGCGTATAGAGGCAGCTCAACGCGTATAGAGGCAGCTCAACGCGTATAGAGGCAGCTCAACGCGTATAGAGGCAGCTCAACGCGTATAGAGGCAGCTCAACGCGTATAGACACAGATCAACACGTATAGACACAGATCAACACGTATAGACACAGATCAACACGTATAGACACAGATCAACACGTATAGACACAGATCAACACATATACAGCTCAACACGTATAGATACAGCTCAACACGTATAGATACAGCTCAACACATACAGCTGACTTGCTGTGTTTGAACTGGACAACATCACACATCCATGTTGCTTTGTCATGAATGTGAGCTGTAGTGCCCTACAAAGACAAAATACAGTAAACACATTATGACCAGCATATCAGTAATAATCTAGTGTGAAATACAGTACAGGCCACGATTTATGTGTTTAATTAAGAGTGTCTTCAATTCAAATTCATTATGGATTCACAGTTAAATAGTGTTTTTAACTAAACTATCGTGTGTGTGTGTGTGTGTGTGTGTGTGTGTGTGTGTGTGTGTGTGTGTGTGTGTGTGTGTGTGTGTGTGTGTGTGTGTGTGTGTGTGTGTGTGTGTAAAAACTGCAGAAACAGACAACACAGGTTTCCTGGATAATGGTCAGTTATACAGAGTTGCCCTGGACAACAGTCATTATTTAGAAATATTTGACCTAAATATATTCCATACAAATCTATTTAATTCTAATTAATATATGTAATTGTACGCTTGTTTCTGCCACAGAATAAAACATTTTAAAAGATAATTGCAAGTTTACATTTACATCATACTCAGAATTGCGTGTTATAAAGTCAGAATTGCGTGATATAAACTCACAATTGCGAGAAATAAACTCGCAATTCGGACTTTATATCTCCCAATTGCGTGTTATAATTTCAGAATTGTGAGATAAAAAGTCGCAATTACCTTTATTATTTTTTATTCTGTGGCGTGAACAAGCTTCCATAGATTTAAGTATTCGAGAGATCCATTGAATGATATTGAGTAACTTGACAGACAAAATTGGTTCAGTTTGTGTATTTCTTTCCGCGTCAACTGTGTTATTTCCTGTAGAGATGGACAGGGGTCCCTGTCGTACCGTGTGCTGGATTGTCCGGACAGAGCTGCTCTCATTCAAGTGGATGATAAAGGTCTTCTGACGTCTGGATCTCTGACAGGAACAGCATCCTTACAGATTAGCTCGCAGGAAACATTCGGCGTCAATCAAACCATCATCATCGCTGTGAAGGTAACACTGCGACATGCATGAAGCTATGCTAGTGCAATACAGTCTTCAAACAGATGATCCTTTAGCAAATTTAAGTGCATTTTACAGAACCTAATAAACGGAGAACAAAATAGAGGATAAGTAACTTAAATTGCAGATTAATATTGCTTATTAAATGTTTTGAGACTAATAACTGGCTGACTGCACATTATCACTCTTATATTTATATTTTGTAATTCACAGTAGTTCTTAACTGAATGTGTTGGTAATTATTGGGAGTCAGCAGTGTTTGTGTTTTGTTGTTTAAGGTGGTGACCGTGTCATACCTGCGTCTGAGCACGAGTCCAGTGATGTACACGTCTAACAGAGAGACTGTGTCCGCCATCCCGCTGGGAGCCGTTCTGACCTTCACCGTTCATTTCCACGACAGCACAGGAGAAACCTTACACAGCCACAACTCACTGCTCAGCTTCTCCACCAACAGGTGCAGCAAACTCAAACCCTCGGCATGACATGCAAACACTCACACAGTCACACACTGCAAGACAAATCAGTGCTGCCACCCCTAAAAAAACTGTGCCAATGAATGCAAGACTGTGTCAATGAATTTACACAGGAAGTACAATCACAGGAAACTGTAAAGGTTTTTGTTTTTGCAGTTCGTGCTATAAAAAGATTTTTTTCACATTACCTAAATAGTGTGCTTTATGTGAGGACATCTAAATTATCTGTTTATTGCACGTCTAAAATGTCATTTTATCTGATTATAAGCCCGACAAAGTGCTTTAAAGGAAGTCATTTTTATGGGTTAGATCAGTGGTTCCCAAACTGGGGTACGTGAGGTGACAGAAGGGGGTACAAAATGCTGAGTCTTGCCGTTCATTTAATTCTACCCTACCTTAAAATAATATCAAAACTGAGCATGTATTTCTAACTGGCAAAAGACTGTAAATACATGACATCCAATCAAATGATCTCATCCTTTGCAGTGTAAACTGACTGCATCCACACAAGCTGTGTGCATGTTATAGGCTGTGTGCAGAGTATTGCTGCCTTAGCAAATCTCACTGCATTACTGCGGTTCTAGACGATGTACCTTTGTAAAAGTGGGGATTTAGTACGTACTCTCATGAAGAACAAATATAGACAGTGGATTGAGATCGATTTAAGACTTACAAAAACATACCCTTTGTGAGTTGATAATGAGCAAGAATGCAATTGTTCCCAAATATCCACACGATTGCACAAGATTCACACTATTGCAAACTTGACATTATACAACAGATCAACAAACAAAACGTACACTTAAACACAGTACTGTCAGTATTTACCTTATTTTGTAATGAAATAATAGTTCCAACGAAAGCCACAGCAGAACTACAGCACACATCTGTGTTTCGTGAACAATTCTGCAGCTTTGAACGAATCGTGAGAGTCAATCATTCAATGATTCATTCATAAATGCAGCCAGTTGCTTCGTTACTGATGAATGAATTACTAGATGGCTTGCCCATTGACAGTGACTTACTGCCACCTACTGGCGGTTTGAGTTTAATATTCAAAAGTATCACTTCTTTTTTACCATCATTGCATATTTCTCTATTGAACATTTTTTTATTCATAAAGGTAAAAAATGCACTGGAAAATCAATTTAGGGGGCAAATATTGTGCCTTAATTAAGGGGTACGCCACTTTAAAGAGGTTGGGAACCACTGGGTTAGATCAAGTCGAGTCACATTAATTTACAATATAGATTGTTTTAAAGCAGCTTTACAGTGATAACAGGAAAATAATGCAAAAAAGTTTGATCAAGTACAAAAAGATCCTTGAAATAAGTTGCACGTTACCACTTTTTCAGTGTATTCAGTGTATTTTGACTTTTGCCACCAGAAAATTGTCTAGAGGCACCGCTGACAAGCCTGTGTACAGTGACGATGCTCGCAGTGGAGACGTTTTGCTGGAATTAAATTGTAATCTAAACAGATATGCATTATATGGCCTGTGGTAAATGTGGAAGAAGTAACCGTGTAGATCTGGAGGCCTAAGGACTCTTCACAAATGAATGTTTATTTACAAATGCGTCTCAACATTATAATATACTATATTAAAGGTGGTAATTGCAGACAATTCAAATGTATATTTATGCAAAAGAATATTAAGAAAAATCTGTGGGTATGCTTTTATTTAGTTTGATCCATGATTTTTTATAAATTTTAATAAAATAAATATTTATGTTTTATTAATGTTTTTAGCCGTCTATATGATGTGTGCAGGGATGATTTGGTGCAGGTGGGTAAGGGTTCGAGTAACGGCACGCTGACGGTGCGGACGGTCAATGTGGGACTGACTCTGCTGGGGGTGTGGGACTCGGAGCAAGCGGGACTCGCTGACTTCATCGCTCTACCCGTCCAGCATGCCATCCATCCAGCCGAAGCCCAGCGGCTGCTCGTGGGAGATGTGGTGTGCTTTTCTGCACAGATTATTAATCAGGAGGGTAAGACAGGACACAGAAACCTGAAAAACACTACACACTACTATATTTCAGCCCAAACTGAGCGTTTGTGCAGGCTCTCTGTGAGTGTTGTGTTTGTCATGGTCAGGTGCGTCGGGTGTGTGGAGCTCCTCGTCCAGTGCTGTGCTGGAGGTCGATCCCAGGACTGGAGCCGCAGTGGCCCGAGACAAGGGCACCGTCACCGTCTACTACGACCTACCAGGACAGCTCCGCACTTACAGAGAGGTGAGACATCACAATCAGGTCCTTCCTTTGGAGATATTCCGAAGAAGATATTTAGGAAAAATCATGAAAAGACAGTGGTCTAAATGGGGATTCCTGTTAAACTGAAGACAGTCATTATTGTAATTGAAACATTGTGCTTTCTTTAGGTTTTTATTGAAGTTGCGACTCGGACCTCTGTCATGTCCCCCTCAGTGAAGAAGGACAGAGACTCCAAAGTCTTGATGTCAACCAGGGACACCGGGAGCAACCTCATTGGTACAGATCCCTGCTTGAGTCGCTGTAGTCCTCACACTGACTTCATGCTTATGTGCTGTGTCTGTGTGACGTGTGTGTCCTGCCCTTCTGATGTGTGTGACTTGTGTGTCCTGCCCTTCTGATGTGTGTGACGTGTGTGTCCTGCCCTTCTGATGTGTGTGACGTGTGTGTCCTGCTCTGCTGATGTGTGTGACGTGTGTGTCCTGCCCTGCTGATGTGTGTGACGTGTGTGTCCTGCCCTGCTGATGTGTGTGACGTGTGTGTCCTGCCCTTCTGATGTGTGTGACGTGTGTGTCCTGCCCTGCTGATGTGTGTGACGTGTGTGTCCTGCCCTTCTGATGTGTGTGACGTGTGTGTCCTGCCCTTCTGATGTGTGTGACGTGTGTGTCCTGACCTTCTGATGTGTGTGACGTGTGTGTCCTGCCCTTCTGATGTGTGTGACGTGTGTGTCTTGACCTACTGATGTGTGTGACGTGTGTGTCCTGACCTTCTGATGTGTGTGACGTGTGTGTCCTGCCCTTCTGATGTGTGTGACGTGTGTGTCCTGCCGTTCTGATGTGTGTGACGTGTGTGTCCTGCCCTGCTGATGTGTGTGACGTGTGTGTCCTGCCCTTCTGATGTGTGTGACGTGTGTGTCCTGCTCTGCTGATGTGTGTGACGTGTGTGTCCTGCCCTGCTGATGTGTGTGACGTGTGTGTCCTGCCCTTCTGATGTGTGTGACGTGTGTGTCCTGCTCTGCTGATGTGTGTGACGTGTGTGTCCTGCCCTTCTGATGTGTGTGACGTGTGTGTCCTGCTCTGCTGATGTGTGTGGCGTGTGTGTCCTGCCCTTCTGATGTGTGTGGCGTTTGTGTCCTGCCCTTCTGATGTGTGTGACGTGTGTCCTGCCCTGCTGATGTGTGTGACGCGTGTGTCCTGCCCTTCTGATGTGTGTGACGTGTGTGTCCTGCCCTGCTGATGTGTGTGACGTGTGTGTCCTGCCCTTCTGATGTGTGTGACGTGTGTGTCCTGCGCTTCTGATGTGTGTGACGTGTGTGTCCTGACTAGGCTTGGGTATCGAGTATCGAGTATCGATTGGAACCGGGACTAGCTTTTCGATTTTCCCGGAATCGTTCAAAAGTTTAAATTTCGATTCCTAGTTTCGATTCACAGTCCGCCGACCGGACACGCCCGCGGTAGCAGAAGCACGGCTGTCTGCTTTTCGAGTGGCAAAACGCATTTTCCAGCTGCACAGCTAGCACTGTGAGTGTCTGGCTCACTCATTGGCTGTGCTGCGGCAACTGCACATCCAATGGCACGGGCGCCTCCAACGTGTGCGCCAATGAGCTAGCATTACATCAGACACGTCAGAGCCCGCCAAGGGGGCGTGGCCCGACGCCCCCGAAAAAATAGCCAGCAGTTTACCACAGCTCGCTCGGAGCGATCAATGTCGGTTATATATACTGTAAAACTTCAATTAATGTTAATAATATTTGTTTCAATCACTGAATGAAGCCTGCTATATTTAGGACAAGAGTCGTGACCTTAAATTGCTTGCACAAAACTCTTGATCCAGCACTCAACATTTGTTTATTGTTGTTCATTTAAACCGTTAAGCGCAGAGAGCGTGAGGGCAAGAGAGAGAGAGAGAGAGACTGCGGTTGAGCGAGAGTGAGGTCTGCGGTCTTGGCCATTAGTTGATTTACTTTTTTTTGTGTAAGTTAATACGTTGTCAAATATGTTTAAACTTAAACTACCTATACAAGTAGTTATGTCTCTTTGTATTAATTTGTCCTGTTATTGACGTAATGCGCGTCATTGACAAAATGCGCAACCAGATGTTCGAATAGTTCGAATATATGTGGTTTCTTTAGAGGGAATATTCGAACGTCATTTTTGAGCAATTTTGACAGCCCTAGGTTAGCCCTTCAGTGGGAGCACGGTAACATGCTCAAGTATCTGCAGCATCATACACTCATGTGTAAATGTGTTTTCATGAGGTTTTCAAAAATAAAGCTCTCTTGAGGAAAGTGTACCCCTGTGAAAATATATTCATAATTTATAATATTTATATTCAAGTTCATAGATTTGATATTTATATTGTAGTTGAAAACAGCCCTGTGAGAAATTCATAGTAAAGTTCATAAAAAGTTAAAAGTTCATAGAATTAAAATTGATGGAGAAGGTCAGACTATTTCCTTCAGAAAGACTGTTGGTTAGCTAGCTCATTTAAAATATCCTTAACTTTTTTGACCCCGCCTCTTAAAAGAATCGGAATCGAGAATCGTTAGGAACCGGAATCAAAACAAGGAATCGGAATTGGAATCGTTCAAATTCAAACGATACCCAACCCTAGTCCTGACCTTCTGATGTGTGTGACGTGTGTGTCCTGCCCTGCTGATGTGTGTGACGTGTGTGTCCTGACCTTCTGATGTGTGTGGCGTGTGTGTCCTGACCTTCTGATGTGTGTGACGTGTGTGTCCTGCCCTGCTGATGTGTGTGACGTGTGTGTCCTGACCTTCTGATGTGTGTGACGTGTGTGTCCTGACCTTCTGATGTGTGTGGCGTGTGTGTCCTGACCTTCTGATGTGTGTGACGTGTGTGTCCTGCCCTTCTGATGTGTGTGACGTGTGTGTCCTGCCCTTCTGATGTGTGTGGCGTGTGTCCTGCGCTTCTGATGTGTGTGACGTGTGTGTCCTGCCCTTCTGATGTGTGTGACGTGTGTGTCCTGACCTTCTGATGTGTGTGACGTGTGTGACGTGTGTGTCCTGCCCTTCTGATGTTTGTGTCCTGCCCTTCTGATCTGTGTGACGTGTGTGTTCTGCCCTTCTGATGTGTGTGTTCTGCCCTTCTGATGTGTGTGTCCTGCCCTTCTGATCTGTGTGACGTGTGTGTTCTGCCCTTCTGATGTGTGTGTCCTGCCCTTCTGATGTGTGTGTCCTGCCCTTCTGATGTGTGTGTCCTGCCCTTCTGATGTGTGTGTCCTGCCCTTCTGATCTGTGTGACGTGTGTGTCCTGACCTACTGATGTGTGTGACGTGTGTGTCCTGACCTTCTGATGTGTGTGACGTGTGTGTCCTGCCCTTCTGATGTGTGTGACGTGTGTGTCCTGCCCTGCTGATGTGTGTGGCGTTTGTGTCCTGCCCTGCTGATGTGTGTGACGTGTGTGTCCTGCCCTGCTGATGTGTGTGACGTGTGTGTCCTGCCCTTCTGATGTGTGTGACGTGTGTGTCCTGCCCTGCTGATGTGTGTGACGTGTGTGTCCTGCTCTGCTGATGTGTGTGACGTGTGTGTCCTGCCCTGCTGATGTGTGTGGCGTGTGTGTCCTGCCCTGCTGATGTGTGTGACGTGTGTGTCCTGCCCTTCTGATGTGTGTGACGTGTGTGTCCTGCCCTTCTGATGTGTGTGACGTGTGTGTCCTGCCCTTCTGATGTGTGTGGCGTTTGTGTCCTGCCCTTCTGATGTGTGTGACGTGTGTGTCCTGCCCTTCTGATGTGTGTGACGTGTGTGTCCTGCCCTTCTGATGTGTGTGACGTGTGTGTCCTGCCCTTCTGATGTGTGTGACGTGTGTGTCCTGCCCTTCTGATGTGTGTGGCGTTTGTGTCCTGCCCTGCTGATGTGTGTGACGTGTGTCCTGCCCTTCTGATGTGTGTGGCGTGTGTGTCCTGCCCTTCTGATGTGTGTGGCGTTTGTGTCCTGCCCTTCTGATGTGTGTGATCAATGTGATCAGAATGTTTATTCAAATCTGTTTTCACACTTTGGCCTGAGAGAGACTGTACCTGACACTACACCATGTTAGTCATATAACACAACTGATCAGTGTTTGTTGCAATTCTCATTAGCTACAGAAATCCATATCATTTAAAAAACAATAAATATCATCTACTTAGGGCAGGCCGATACATTGATTATTGCAATATTATCTCGATAATGTTAAAAGTTTAGCTTGGGTTTCTAAAGACAGTCAGCCAGTTTCACTCCCCTTTTTTAATCTCACAAGTAAATCGCTTTGACTACTTGTGTGAGAGTGAAGTTTGGATCCGTATTTGTGTGAGAGTGAAGAGTGTCAAAGATTTCAAATTAAAACGTGTTTTTGATGCTTTAGGCACTGTAGTCTTTCCAGCCATTCACATGTCTGTTGAAGCTGATTTGTGTTCATTTAGCTAAGCTCATTTATTTCACATTCATTCGAAAATAACTGTCGCTTTAAAGTAGGCTTGGGCGGTAATACGGTAATATCGTATACCGCGGGATCTAAAAATAGCAACGGTATCAGTTTCAATATCGTCATACCGTCATAAAAAAAAATCCAATGCACTTATGATGTGCATTGGTCAATGTCGCCTTGCTTTTGGCTTGCTTAGTTGGGGATATTTAATATTCAACAATATTATTGAACTGTGTTGTACTACTTTCATGTTATCACTGTGAAGCTGCTTTGATGCAATCTGTATTGTGAAAAGCGCTATATAAATAAATGACTTGACTTGACTTGACTTATATAGGAGAAAAGGATTAAATATTAAATATAATTTATTTAATGGCTAAAAATGCTTATGTGTGGTTGTCATCACGTGACAGTGTGGAGGAGAAAGAGTCGGGGAGAGAGGGGGAAAGATGGCAAGTTGCGCAACGAGTGACCTGGTCTCGAAGAAGAACACGACTTCTGCAGTTTGGCAGGGATGGGCATTTCAAGCAAAAATAATATTTGAAGATCGCCTGGTATTATTTAATTATTATTCGAAAATAGCACCCCTCCACCATATGCACGCACACATGCATGTAGGCTACACAGCTATACAGCGGAGCGGTGTGACACTTAAATAGGCTATAAGTAAAAAAAAAAAAAAAAAAATAACTCATTTCTTTTCATATTTATGTTTAATAATATAATGTTGTTATTTTTTTTTATTTCATCTATGTTGATTATATGAAAAGGAAACTGCATGAGATGAATAAGATAGGATCATAAGATGCCCAATATCGGAAAACATTTGGAATGGGTCAGACATGATTTTTGACCACTTATTACGTTTTGTAGAAAGCCTTTCTTTAAAGTGAATTTGGTTTCGCATAAATTGTATCTTCATTTTAATCAATGTTTCATCAACGAATTGCCTGGATTAATAAATAAGAAGGATATATATTAGACAATATAAGCCGGCGCGTGAACTGGAGCGCGTCCCCTAAAATAAACGAAACTCAGCGTATAAGATAGATGCCTTAAATATCTGAGAAGTGTATATATATATAGAAAGCTTGAAATGTCTACTTTTAAACAAAACAATTAAAAACTAAAAGAAATGGCCTGCTCTCTGTAGGCTAAGTCATATGAAGTGTGCATTTCTCTCTATGCGCGTTCACTACTGCGAAGATGCGAGTCTGCATCGTAAACTTTATCTGTGCAGCCACTGACATAGAACGTTTTTTATTAATAAACAATTCAAAAGTTTCATGCATAATAATTACTTTTGCCGGTTCTTTGTGGCAAGCTTTATGTGTGCTTTGAGATGCAGAATAGGCAATATATTACGAAAACGCTCATTATGGTTTAGCATTCTCTCCTATATATATTTAAGTAATTTAATCAAAAAATATGTGATTAGACTAATGGCTTAAATCAACTACTACTAGTCAACTAGAAAAAAAATTGTTTAAGTCATGCACGGGCAGCCCTACTTCACATGTTTTCTAACCAGCATGTCACTGCGGGCATTCTGAGCGCGCGACGCTGAGTGGACTGAGCACGCGGCGCGGGATCTTCAGAAATGCGCTCTTTGCTCTGGAGGAAATATTACCACTCCGCTCACATGCTCTGGTGTGAGACAATGTGCATCTTCTCCTGTTGTCTGAGAGTTGATTGACAGCTTTTAGATGCATTATTGGCATCGCCACCCTCTGGTTGAACGTGTCACCACCGCATCAGAACGGAAAACATGGGGATTTTTTATAGACAATAATCCCACAACCTATTCCATATTCTATAATAAAATCAAATAATTGAATATTCGAAAATTGTGACTCATCCCTGCACAAACCAACAGTTTGGTGATGCCTTCTGAGCCTTATGTCATAATTTTTAATTAGTCACGCGGTAATACCGTATACCGCGGTAAAATAGGGAGGAGGTTTGACGGTATCTAAATTTGGATACCGCCCAAGCCTACTTTAAAGGGACATTGTGTAGGAATTTCTCCAATCTAGCGGTGAAATTGTATTTTGCATTCAAACTAATTGTGCTCTCCAGCGCCTAGCTTTTTCAAATGCGCGTTGCATCTACGGTAGCCATTATGTACCAAAAAGCTATGACAGGATGTCTTCTAATAGCACCTCGTCGAGTGTTCCTTCGGGTGAACAAGTTTGTTATTTCAAACAAACTGCAACTTGACTCAACGAACAAACGAATGTTACAGTATGAATTACTGACTGTGAAAAACATGAACTCAATAGCTGCTATTCATCAAAGAGCCTGTTTAACTTTTAACTATAAATGTTCTACTGTCTATATAATAAAGTACACAACCAAGCAATGAAAAAAAAGCTTGTAATTAAGACTGTAACATTGACTTACCTGTCGAGAAGAAAGCAGGACTTCAGCGTCTCTTTTGAAATCTTTCTCCTGCATTAGCTCTTTCCACCTATCCCAACATTAACTCTTTTTGTAATCTCCGGTCACGTTTCCTTTTACGTTCTATTTTGGACTTTTTTGGCGTCGAGGATTTCTTCTCCTGTGGCTCGGCATATGTATGGTCCGCCATTAAAAATAATCAGTGCAATGCAGCCTTTTAAAGTTGCCGGGGCCGTGACAAGCGCTTCTCACTGCTCTGCTCCTCCGCTTCTGCTGCTTTCAGTCACGTCACGCTGGCTCTGAACGAAAACGTGTTGTGGAAACGCGATGGCGGAACTACATGGAAGCCTCCGTGGACCTACCCGTCTCATGTATATAAAGATAATAAATTCTTCGCTTACGAGGATAAGTCAGATAATTGGCAGAGGTATTTGTACACCATTGAGGACATATTTATGAATAAAAATATTGATTTTAGATAATAAAATACCTAAAAACGTACACATTGTCCCTTTAAAGGTGTCCTATTATGGCCTTTTATGAAGTCTTGTGTTTTTTGAACAATCAAGTATGAAAACATAGTACACCCTAAAAACTAAATCATTATGTTTCACATTACAGCTCCTCTCTGCCCAGTCTGTCTAGAACGCTTTGTTCTTGATGAAGCCCCTCCTTCTGAAATACCAAATGTGCTGTGATTGGTTAGCTGGCCCGGCGTGCTGTGATTGGTTAGCTGGCCCGGTGTGCTGTTATTGGGTAGCTGGCCCGGTGTGCTGTGATTGGTTAGCTGGCCCGGTGTGCTGTGATTGGTTAGCTGGCCCGGTGGGCTGTGATTGGTTAGCTGTCCCAGTGGGCTGTGATTGGTTAGCTGGCCCGGTGTGCTGTGATTGGTTAGCTGGCCCGGTGTGCTGTGATTGGTTAGCTGGCCCGGTATGCTGTGATTGGTTAGCTGGCCCGGTGTGCTGTGATTGGCAGCGCTTAGGGAAATGTCCCGCCCCTTTATATCCTCTCTAATGCTGCTCAACCAGGCTTTGATTAAGTTGTTTAAGTCTTATTAATTCCATTGATTAGATATCTTTTTTTGATCATTAACGATTAATGCAAACATTAAAATGAAATCCAGAGAAATTAAAACCGAAAACGCAGATTTTGGGGGGGAAATAAAACAGAATATGGTAAAAATAAAAATGGATTATAATGGGACTAGCAACACATGGATTTGATTCCTAAGAATCACAAATGCTGAATAATTGTATTCTGTGAATGACCTGAAAGTGTCTGCTAAATGAACATGCAAATTTAAAAGTCAATGCTATGATGATCAAAAACAACATAACACATGTTTAACAATCAGTTTTGCTGTGTCCTCAGGAATCTGCTCCTCGTCGCAGTCGGACAGCATCGCTCTGCTCCACCCAGAGTCCTCCATCAGCTGTCAGTTGCACTTCACCAGCAGCGCGGTGGACTTCTCTGCTCACGACGTCTACCACACTCGCACCGCGTTCGACCCCAGCACAGGTCTCCCCAACCTCTGGCTGCCGTGACTTCAGTCGTTTCAGTGAATAAAGCAATGTTTTAATCTGTATCTCCTGTTTTCCAGGTTTCTACAGCTGTGCGCTGAGCTTCAAGCCCATGAACGAGCAGCAGGTGAAGGTGCTGAGCATGTCCATGACTGACGTGGACGTCACGGCCGGTGTGCAGGGTCACTTCACCGGTCAGCAGATCAGCGCTCGACTGCCCGTCAACCCAGGCATCTACGCGGACCAGACGGACATCCTCCTGAGCAACCAGCACACGTCTGCGGATCTGACCATCTACGGGACGCCAGGCGCACTGCAGCAGCTGGAGGTAAAGCTCGCACCTCGGCCATTCGTGTCTGAAAAGTGAAAGGACGATCATTGTGTTGATGTGTCTGAGATTGCTCAAACACGTGTGCGTGTGGATCTGATTGGCTCTTTCAGGTGAAGAGCAGTTCTCCTGCAGTGGTGATGGAGCAGAAGGAGGTGTCCCAGAGCTTCCCGAGCTACATCAGGTACACGGTTAGTGTGGTGAAGCCGCAGGGAGCTCTGACGGCCTCGGTGTCTGTGCGCAGCGGCTCCAGCGATCAGGTGCTGCTCATCCCTGTGTCCGTCATGCATCTGGCAGCCAGCGCCACTTCTGTGCAAGGTTGGTTACGCCACACCCGTCGACAGCATAGGAGGAAATGTGTTTATGGTCAAGGCTACATTAACAAGTAGTCTTTTATTGTAGTATCTTATTGGGCACCCAATTGAACGGCCAAAAATAGCAGTTTCAGAAGATATAATGAGCAGTAGCCGTGGAGTTAAAGGGGTCGTGACATAAGGAATCTGATTATCCTTAACCCTCTGGGGTCTGAGGTGTTTTCTGGGTCCTGGAGGTTTTCTGACATGCTCTGACATTTGTGATTATTTCTGATACTTGTGATATTTTCATGGCTAAAGTCTGATTACACTGTATTCAGCACAAACTCTGCTACAATAATATGTCAGCAGCATGTATGTAAAAGTTTTTAGTTTTGAGATAATGACGTTTATGTGTGGTTTGTGAAAAAACAAAAAACAAATATCACTGAAATAAGATCATAAAACCCTTACTAATTATTTCTTTACAAGACTTCTGAAAATTGTATCACGTAGCCTAGAATATTTGCTTAAAAACTATGTGAAAATCATCCTGACTACTCATTCAGATAAGACAATAAAGTCTTTTTAAATTTGTATGACCTGTTTTGTGTAAGAAAGCTTTATGCGAGAAGGCGTAAACCACTGTGAATCTGTCATTAATATGTATGCTTTTCACACCTGAGAAGACCACCAAAGACGAAAGACCCCTCCCATAATGGCCCTATAAGGTGCTATCATTAGGAGCCTTGCACAAAGAATGAGGAGAGCCTTAAAAAAGAATGGCTTTTTGATTGTTTGGATTATGTTGTGTTGTAAATAAATCCAAAGATACACAACAAATGACAAAAAAGCACATTATTGAACACACTGATCTTTAGATCACACACACTCTGTTCAACAGAGACCTTTGTGCCATTCCTGAAACATAGTACATACCTGTCCATGTTCCATTTACCATGTTCATGTACAGAGACTCATGTGAATGTCAGCAGGACTCAGTGGCTCAGTGGTCCCTGTAAAAAAAAAAACAACAGCAAACAAAAAAACAACTGTGAATGCTAATATCAAGAGAAAGGCCGCACGATTTTGGGAATACATTTGAGATTTTTCTGGTTAAAATATCTTTTTACAATTTATAAATTACACACACACAGAGCCTACATATATATATTTAAAATGAACACCAGGTTTGTTGTGCAATGCATATTGTGCAATGCATAATATTATTCATAATACATTTCTTACCTTACATCTTTCTTGTCTTCAAATCGCGATCTTCTTCTTCTTCTGAGGTAAGTTAAATCCAATGTAAGATCAGCGTGTTTTCCAACCTCGGCGAAAAGCATTGGACTGATGAAATTTGATGCGTTGTTTTTGAGGTAATGAGGGCGTTGCGTTCCTTCACGTGGATATTTGCATATCGTGGTCAAATTAAAAATAATGAGCAAGCTTTTGAGAAACTGGAAATCTTGTTGGTTTTATACAAATGACTTAAACAGAGAATATTTGTTTTTGTTTTGAATCCGATAATTTAAAAGTACACACTTGCATGTTTATAAAGATATATGGCTCATAAATGTGAGAAGTATTCGCTGAGTTGTTTTAGTTTATAGACGTGCTCAAGAAAAAAAAAATTCACCGAGACGGAGAGACAGAACGCATAGCCCGTTTATTTTCTTTATTTTACAAAAGCACAATGGTTTGTTTTTATTGTAAGTGGACACATACAAAAGTAGACATCTCACAGATTCTTTTTTCATGTTTCTTTTTTCTGTATGACCATAAATGACGGAGTATTTTAAGTCCATGTTGCTGCTATGTGAAAAAAATCGAGCAAATCATGCCGGCGTGATTGCCGACCCCAGAGGGTTAAACATTTGCAGGATGTTTTAATAGTGCAAAGACCTTGCATGTTTCTTAGCTTAAGCTCATCCTCCTCAGAAAACAGCGTTTATTTAACCAAGCTCCAAAAATGCGTTGTTAGGATGTTGTGGGATTTGTGATGTCACACAAGCACATTAACTTGCTTTTGACTCCTCTTCAGTTAGAGCAGTTATTTATCATGTATAATTTCCACTGGCAGTCAGTCTCATAATGGCTGTCACCCGTGTACACCAGCTGGCTCATAAATGCTTCTTCACCTTTTCTTCTAGCACAAATGGCAGAGGGAGCAGATGGGCCCAATATTCTTCAGCAGTTTATTGACTCCTATCAAGTGATGTTCTTCACTTTATTCGCTCTTTTGGCGGCCACTGCTGTTGTCATCATCGGTAAATGCCTCCATATCCTCCAACTCTTTTTAATGTCATGGATAATGGGTTTTAGGACAGTGATTGTTCTTTTTTTAATGTCTTTTTCATTGTAACCATTATCTATCTTCATTTTATAGTGTGCCATTTGCTGTTTTCTCCGAGAGATCCTGTCAATCATCCTGCATTCATCCAGAAGACTCCGCCTCCCACAGGTACATGCATCTGGAAAATAACCCTGCAACAATGCAACCAAATATAACCCCAATAAATGCTGTCCAATTAACACCTGACCACTTTTTGCAGGACAAAATGTGTAACACAATGCACCTTTAACTTCCTTTAGCACACAAAGAGTTGTGTAATATTTAGGAATTGTAATGCTTGTGTTTTTTCAGGTGTAGCTAAGCTGACCGAGAGCCCCTTCAACAACAGCATGTCTTCAGACAGGAAGGGAAGCCCGAGATTACGCTTGTATTCTCCAGACTATAACTCCAGATAAACCTCCTCCACCCGAAGACCGAAGAAAGTGCCTTACCATTGAATACAGGAGTATAAGCGTGCTGGATACGTGCGCAAGAGTATTGCTTACATGCTTCAAACAATAGCTTTTTCATTTGAATCCCAGTGTGTTGAAAAATTCATATCTGATTGAATATGCCAGGGCTGCATAGTTTTGTTTGATTATTTAAATGTTTGATGTGTGCACTCATTTATTATTGTTGCCATTAATTTCAGTAGTTTTTTCATAGCTTGAGATAGTCTAAGTTTTAGTGAGTTGTGATGTTAAACGTGTCTTTTTTTCCTTGGAAGCTCAGGACAACCTTTGGAAACTAGTGTGATTATGTAGCATGTTATTGTGTGAATAGTGCAACCACTGATTCCGTCCAAAGTGCTCTTACAAGTGTTTCATCTGCAAAAAAATAATGGCCAGTTGTTTCATTTCGTGAACAATAATATTTTGAAGAATTCTTGAGTGCAGCTTCTTTCGGTTATTGATGTGAATGTTCAAATGTTTTAGGGCTTAGTTCAGTTGACTTGCTTTGGCAGATTAAGTGGTTCTGGAAGGACCGAACCTACCGCAGCATTTGACATGGCCATTGATACTGATACTGATAATTCTGTTACTGTGAGTTTGAGTCCGATTCAACATTGTGACCATTTTTGACAGAAAAAATCCTCAGCCTGTTTAAGTGAGACAGAAATACTGTTTTAATGAATAATTAGTTTTCTGTCTTTGTAAGCAAGAGCCATAATGTGATTCATAGAACTGCCGCACTGAGTACAATGAATTGTGATATCTGTCATAATCTATACACGAGTTTAATCTGTAAATGTAACCACTTCTGAGCCTTTGTCATTGTGTTTGATCTTGTCTATCATACCTCCCTCAAAAATAATAATAACAGCTTGTGCTTTGAGAACATTGTGCTTTTTTGCAGCATGTGATCTATAAACATTAAATATGCTCTCTTTTTTTACTATCACCTGATTGCATTTTTTTAGGTTCTGAAAAATCACTTGTCCATTTGAAAAACGTTTGCTCATGCAACAGTAACCCATCATGAATTAGAGGAAATAACCACTAATAATAATAAGAATGAAATTAAAAGTGAATTTCGAAAACACTTGTTTCTTTTCCTAACAATGCAAACAATTTCCACATTAGATGCATGTCAACCTAATTTTCTCACAATATTACAAAAAAATATCACTATTAAGGTCTGTCTTTACAATATTTAATGTGTAATTAGTATATAATATTATGAGTGAGTTGTGCATTGATCTAGAATATATAATTCACAGTTAATGTTTAAAATTAATTTCAGATTTATAACTTTCCTTCTGTACTGTACTACTTTAAGCCAACTTTTCTTTATGCAGTAAATTCTTATTTTGGCCTTTAACTGAGTGGATCATTGATCGGCTAAAGCCGAGGATGCAGTTCGGGTCCTGGTAACTGAGGCAGGAACACTGGCAGAAAACCTTTACAACTTTGTACATGAGGAAAGTAAGGCTGAACTTGAATTTGTTGAAAGGGTAGACCCTTGAGATGTAACATCTCATTTTTGAGGGGGTCCCAATAACACATACAAACTACAATACAAAACATTTAAAGCAAACAAAGCAATATCACTTGGACAAACAGTTCACTCTTGTATTCTGCTATACTGTAGAGTCTACAACTGTATTAGACACGCAGGAGCATGTACACACAAGAGGACGTGCACCCTAGTGCAAACATGACACTCAAAATGTACCTGCACCCTGAGAGAGAACAGAAATAAAAAATAAATAAATGAACAGGATAATGGTATAGAAGCCTTGATTTAGAAACATGAGCAGGTTGTTTTCAGATGAGTCCTATAAAGACGGAGAGATTGTTCCAGTCAGATCGAGCTTTGTACAGGAATGACCTTCAGTAAAAATCCTCGGGACACAGAAAACCGGATGCTGCATGTGTGGAAAAGGATAGGAGGAACCAAACGCTGTTTTAAGAAGGGCCATTAAAATGAACGCATTTTAAAAGAAACTGGAACCAGTGATATTGCCTTCGGGATTTTGGTTGGAGCCAATCAAGAGTTCCATACAGCGTACAATGGTGGGTTCTGTAAGGACATCTCAAAACAAACCTACATAAACAATTGTGAATGACATTAAGAGGTTTTAAATTGGTATCATTTGGTCAATAATGTCCGCATAGTCAATGATTGGAAGAATTAATTGGGAGATTAATCTTTTTCTGACTTGAAATGAATTGAGCGATAAAGAGAAAATCAACCATACGATTTTTTGATAATAAAATGAATGTGAGGCTTAAAGGACAGTTCGGGGTCAAGCCAAAGACCAAGATATTTAAATAGATCAACTTTAGTGATCGGGTGACCCGTCATCAAAACTAATATCTAAATCCAAGGAATGCGAGTGATGGCATTTTTTTATAAACACTATAGGATGTATTTTTATTGAGGTTTTTTTTTGTAAAACCTGTTCAAATCTGACTGCAGACAGGACTGAATGTATGAAATATCAGATCGCGAAGAGTAAATAACAGTTTCATTGCATAAAGATGAATGAAAGATTGTGAGCAAGTTTTGGGAAGGTAAAGGCACAGAAGAACAGAGGACCCAGTGTTGAGCCTTGAGGAACACCCTTATCAACAACCAAATAATCTGAATTTGAGCCTTGAAAAGTTTCTTTTGGTGTCACAGGAGAGAGTTTTGATCAAAGCCTATAGAGTGTAATTTATCAAGCAGAAGGTAATGGTCCACCATGTCAAATGCTTTAGAGAGATCAATGAAGATTGCACCAGTTAGTTGGCCTTTATCAAAGGAAGTAAACAATTCATTGGTGAATTTCATTAAGGCCGTAGTGGTGGAAAAGTTGGGTCTAAAACCCGACTGAGATGGAAATAAAATATGAAACGTTTCAAATATTCAAATATTAAACCGGTTAATGTATTCTGATGTTTGATTGAAAACCTTTGTAACAGTGCAAATACTAGAAGTTCAGATCAGATGGGTCACCACTTTTAAAAAGAGGGGTAACCTCAGCACATTTCCATACGGATGGACAGAGACAAATGGGTCGAACAGCGGCTCCCTGACCTGAATGTGTGTCAGAGAAATGAACAGTGGTGTGAACACTGATGGATGTAAAGTGCCTATTAAAGGCATAAGATATCTGTTAAGGATCAGAAATATGATCATTATTGATTATTAGCTCATTTGTAGATGGTTTGTGTTTCCTATTTAAAACTTTGTTTAAATGGTTCCAGAAATGTCTTGGGTTACGAAAGTTTTGTGAAAAGCTATTTTTGTAGTAGGTAGATTTTCCCTTCCTTGTCTTGGTTTTACAGATATTCCTAAGCTATCTATAGGATTCCCAATCATCTGGTTGTTTGGATTTGCTATATATGATCCAGGCCTTTTCCCTTTGTTTGTAAAGGTTAATTAATCATTAATCATATCTGAGTTAATCCAGGGAAGATGTCTGCCTTTGACTCGTACTGTTTTTAATGGTGCATGTTTATTAATGACTTTAATAACTTCAGAGTAAAAAAAGTTCAAAGGAAATGAACCCAAGCCTATTCCAATTAATGGACACCAGGTCATGGATAAAATGGTCAAAGTTAATATTCCTATGTTGCCTAATTGTGATGTATTTTGGAGGAATTTTTATTTTCCAAACACAAAATATAGCAGAGTGGTCACTTAAACAATCAGACATCACACCTGACTTAATAATGCTTTCAGGATTAGTGACCAATATCCAGTCCAACAAAGCAGATGAACTTTGATTAACTCTGGTAGGTTCATTAATTAACTGAGCGAGATTGATACTATTAAACAAATGTTTATCATTAGAGGAGGAACGGTAATAATAAGTTCATTGTGAGTTCCAAGAGAGTTGATGAAAATAAAATAATAATGACAAAATACATTTTAGTAGAATCAGCAGGAGCAGATGGTGGTCAGTAGGTTACCTATGGTTAAATGATTATTGTCATAGAGAATGATGCGAATAAATAGACATTCAAAGTTGACTGGTGGTATTTTGAGAATTACACACATGAATTTGGTGGACAGCAACATATATGGCAACACCACCTCCTCTGGAGGGTCTGTAGCTCTAAACAAAACAACAATTTCAATGTTCATTTCATCGTCACTTGATATGAGATCATTGTGTAACCATGTTTCTGAACCCAGGCTCAAAGAAAGTTCATTTTGGGGAGAATTGTGCGGGAAGCAGACACACTCTGTCTAAAAACACATCTCTTTGACCTAGCATACACATAACACACTATCGACTTCTATAATTCAATGTTAGGCTGCATAGATTAGGTTAGCCGGAACCGGGAACACTTCCCATAAATCCTGATGTACTCGTTACGTCATAAGAATAATGGCATCTACGCTAATATTAGTCTCTCTATCCCGAGGTTTACCGCAGATCCAGGCCGAATCCAGATCTGATGAAGGACCTGCGCCTGATACGACGACAACGCAGTCCTGAAGTGTCACTAGTCCCTCCCTGTGAAGATCTCCTTCCCTTTACCTCTGTACAGATAATCGTTGTCGGGATAGATCCGGTTCGCATGGACACGCCGAAGCGATACAATTCTGTATTATACATTTTAAGGCCCGGCAAGTAGTTTGTTGAGGGTTGGTTAAGGGAAGGACTACACGTCTACGCACATATATTCAAACGCTTATACCTATAGAATGAACTCTTAATAACGCATGTGCACGCCATCAGCGTTCTCACAGGTTTGCGTTTTTAAAGTTTGCGTAGAGAGAACTTAAGAGTTTTCTGTTAAAACGGTGTTGTGTTAGCGGCCCCTAAGTTAATAACTAATGATCGTTGCGACGGAAGTGAATCAATTAAAACTAACTTTAGCTGGACAATAACTTTATTCTAGAGCTGTCATAAAGCCAAAACAATCCCTGTTACTTTAATTTCCTATTATCACTGTAAAGCTGCTTTGGAACAATCTATGTTGTTAAAAGCGCTATATAAATGAAGATGACTTGACTTGACTTGGAGAAGGCTTCTTTGCCCCTTGGCCTCTGACCATCATGGCCTCCTAATCAACCCCATATATACTGATTGGCTTCATCACTGTCTCCTCTCCACCAGTAAGCTGGTGTGTGGTGTGTGTGTGTGTGTGTGTGTGTGGTGGGCGTTCTGGCACAATATGGCTGCCGTCGCATCATCCAGGTGGACCTGCACATTGGTGGTGTTTGAGGAGATTCCCCCTTCCATGTAAAGCGCTTTGAGTACCCAGAAAAGCGCTATATAAATGTATTATTATTATTATTATTATTATTATTCTAATATTAAGATGAACAATTTTTTAAGACTTTACATCTAAAAATTAGTCTATATAAAAAAATAAGAAAATGAATGTATGAATGAATGAGTGTGTGCATCCTGTTCACTACTTGGAGTGTGAGATCAACTAGGTTTTACTTGACTTGAAGACTTGAAAAAGGATGTATCGGATAAACATTAAGTTTAGCAGTATTACAAAATGAGATCCACAGCTGTATTTGGTCAAATATCCAGCAAAAATAAATACATTTAAACCATAAAATAAAGAGTATTTGTTTATCAGCATTTATATATATATATATACAGTATGACATACATATGTAAGGTAGTAGTAACCAAGAGTATAAATTAATTGATTATAAACTTGCATAAGTTTGACGGCTGACGTATGCCGTACATGTTTGAGGCAGGACTATAGGCACAAACTGAGACACATTTCAAGGCTTTGCATCGTGTCATTACCATGATGAAAATAGCACAATAATAAATTAACTACAAATATTTTATAGAACTATTTATAAATGTTTTATAGCATGACAGAAACACATACATTCAGCACAGACATATCATACAGTTATGCATAATTCTTATTAGCTTAATAGCTTTACATGCTTTAAGTTTCACACCATCGGACCATTGGTTCGACTTC